TATCAAGGCAGGCACCGTGGACGAGGACTCGTCAGGCTCCGAGTGAGTGGGGCTGGGCGGGTGGACAGGGTGCTGTCCACAGAGGTCCTGGCTGGGGCAGAGCCTCCTCTGGGCCTTTCCAGGCTACTCTGGTTGGCAGTTGGAGGACAGATGGGCTGAGTGTGATCCAGCTCCCTTTGTGCCCAGAAGTCCTGGTGCCCTGTCAGGTGGACCAGCCCCCTCTGGGCTCTATGTGTTTTAGGCCATCCTAGGGTAGCGTGAGGGAGGGTGGGGAGCTGGGGCTGCTTTTCTGTTTCCTCTCTGTGAAAACTGCTCACTCTCCTGTGCTCGCTAACCCTCTGTCTGCCTTTTCTGCCACTCCTTTCCTGCCTCTCCAGATTTCTCTTCTTTAACTTCCTGCATTAACCCTGGGCCGGTGGTTCCTTCGTCCCGAGGCTCCCTTCCCTCCCCCAGCTGCGCTCATGCCCCACTCCTGTCTTGTGCTTTATCCTGCCCCTGCCCCCACCGCCTGCCCACAGCAGCGATGAAACGTCCATCTGAGGAGCCTGGGCCTTGCACCTAAGGCCGCCCAGTGCCAAGTCCTTCTTCCCCTACCACTCCCTCACTGCACTTTGGACCCCTGGGGCCAACATCTCCAAGAAAAGTTTTTCAGAAAAGAGGAAAAAAATTTAAAAAGGATCTCCACTCTTCATGACTTCAGGGATTAATTTTTTTTTATACGCTGGAAACTGACTCCCCTTTCCCTTCCCAAAGAGGTTAGGACCTACCTGGACGCTTCCCAGCCTCTCCTCAATTTTCCATCTGCTGTGCCTCTGGGAGGAGAGGGACTTTTAGGGGGCCTGCCCCTCATTTGCCATCACCAAAAGGAAAGGACAAAGCCACACACACCCAGGGCATCAGACCCTGCAGGCTGCACCGGGCAGGCCTCAGTTGGTGAGGGGTCAGGGTGAAGGGCACTCTCACCTGCCTGTGCTGCCTCTCCCAGGAACTGAAAAGCCCTGTCCAGCCAGGGAGCAGAAGGACTCAGCGCCCCTGGATTGCCAAATGCTGCATGAACCATTTTAAGGGGAGTCTGTGCCCTCCCCGCCGAGGGGGACCATTGCCCCAGCTCCTCTCTTTTTCCTGGACTCTGGCTACGTGCTGCAGCCCAGGTGCTTGCTCAGTTTGCGGACCCCAAAGTGCTTCATTTCTCCTGCCCAACCCGCTCTGGGGAAGGCCCGTCACGCGTTAGGTCACGCTTCTTTGCTGTGAGGGGTGGGACCAGGAGGAAGAGTAAGCACAGAAGGGTCACATGCGGGTTTCAAAGTTGGGTCCTGGTGTCCACTCACCCATCCCCCCCAAATCAGACAAATGCCACTTTGTCTGACCTGCTGTGGCCTCTGAGACATGTTCTATTTTTAACCCCTTCCTGGAATTGGCTCTCTTCTTCAAAGGACCAGGTCCTGTTCCTCGTACCCCCACTCCACCCCAGCTCCCTGTGAAGAGAGAGTTAATATATTTTTTTTATTTATTTGCTTTTTGTGTTGGGATGGGTGTGTGTCCAGCCCCACGGGCTCTGATGTGGCCACTGCAGGTTGGGTGTAGATCCAGCAGCTCTGCCTTGGGGGCTACCACCCTTTCCCTCGTGCTACTCACCCCGCGCCAGCCCCTGCTGTTTTGCCAACCACTATTCATTTAGTCACCCACCAAGCATGTATTTCAGATTTGTCACGGACTTTCCCTCTGGAGCAGGTAGCTAGAAAAGAGGCTATGTACAGGAAAAAATGTTCCTGTCCCTTGTTTGGAAGGCCAGCCTCTGGCTTTTCTGCTATGGATTCCCCCCCCCCCACCCCCGTCCCATGCCCTGCACCCTCCACAATTCCTGCAAAGGGTTAAAAATTTAACTGGTTTTTACTACTGATAACTTGACTTAAAAACACACAAAGATGCTGGATGCTAACTTGATACTAACCATCAGATTGTACAGTTTGATTGTTACTGTAAATATGGTAAAGTTTTGTTGTTTTCCATTCCCCATACTACTGAATAAACTAGTTGTGTGCATAGTGCACTGTCGTCATGTGCATCAGCGTGGTGCCCTGTCCTCCCAGAGGGTGGAGGCCTGGACTTGGGGAAACAAAACACAGGCAGGAAGACCTCACCAGGAGGCCAGGGGTACTCAGATACCAACTGCTGCTTTGTGGCCCTCCCCAGCAACGCTCCCCTAAAAGCCTCATCGGCATGGAGCCCTCATCCTGGCAATTCCAAGGAAGACAAGGTGGGTGGGTGGGAAAATGTCTTTTTCACCAGGACAGGAGGGACGGTGTGCTGGAGTAGCTGCACAGAGCAGGCAGGTTCCAGCTCAGCTTCTCAGTAGGTAAGGGCTGAGATGAGTGCCAGGTGGGAGTTTAAGGGTTTTCAGTATTAGGTGCCACCTAACTCCCCAGGTGTAGGCCATTTTCTTTTCTTTTTTGGTGGTATGGGGTTTGAACTCAGGGCTTCATGCTTGCTAGGCAGGTGCTCTACCACCTGAGCCATGTCCCCAGCCCTGCTGCCACTTTTACTTTTCCATTGGAAAATGAAGCAACTGCTCCCACTGGGGTTAGATATATGCTTCACAACATCACTGCGAGTCACACATTTTGTGTTTGTCCAAGGCTCATTCAACAATAGGAAGGGGGCTAACCCAGGGCAGTACAGGGTAGTCATTATAAACATCAACCCTGAACCAAGGCTGAGTGACGTAGGCTTTCTGAGCCTTAGTTCCTCTGCCTACAAAATGAGGACAAAACAGCACCCGCCAGTTGAGCTTTTATGAGGATTAAATGAGTTGACACATGTAAAATGCTTAGAACAGTTCACAGGGCAGAGCAAAAGGCCAGTAAACACTGGCTTTCCCTGTTGCTCCTGGGGCAGAGGGGGAGGTGGACAGACAGAAAAATAGAAAACTAGGCCAAAAGGGAAGGAGGCCAGCAGGGGGCTGGACAAGAAGGGCAGCTGTGGCAGGTAGATGCTGCCAAATGAATGCTGCTTAAACAGGTTTGGAGCGGAACCTGTGCGGGTGGAGGCACTACTCAGGGCTGACCTAGGATATGAACAGATGCTTTGCCCTCTGCAGCCACTAGGTGGCAACAGTAAGAGGTCTGCTGCTGGGTTTGCCTTTAAGGACCCACGGTGAGTGGGGAGGGTTTGGTTCACAGTAGTAGCTCTCACAAATCTGCCACCTGCTGGCCATGCTTAGGTGTGTCCCTAGGCTTGCTCATGTTCCAGGAGCCTGTGCCTCAGTCAGAGCAAGAACTCACCAACAGGCCCTATTCAATAGACAGCAGTGCAGGAGAAAGCCGGGAAGCCCACCTGAGGTTTTCTTGCCTTTTGCTAAATTTCTCCAGAACTACATACATGGTATCTGTCTCCACAGCCCTCCTGCACAATTCTTGGGATTTCAGGAACTGTAGGAGCAGGTGCAAGAGGCTTGGGGAAAGGTGTCTGGGTGACTCACTGTGATGTAGGTAGATGTGTTAAATAAACCTTAACATCAGTCATAAAAAGCGGAAAACAGTGAGGCCCTACTTGAGCCTAACTAAGTAGGACACTTATGGGGGTAAGGCATGGGTGGAGGCAACAGCTGGTGGCCCACTTTCCTTTGTTCTATTGCCTGCAGGGAAGTTCCTTCAAAACTCCTAAGGAATTGAGTTGGTTCTAGTTCCAAGAGCCAAAGACTGCAAAAATGGGAGACCCTAAGCATCGAGTCTGTTAAAGAATCTTTGTTATTTCTTCAACAAACACCAACTTGTGCTCAAATATATTATATATACACACACACACACACATATATACACATACATATATACACACACATATACATGGGGGTATAAATATATTTTTTGGCAGTACTGAGGTTTGAACTCAGGGCTTCACACTTGCTAGCAGGCGCTCTAACGCTTGAACCATGATACCAGCCCTATTTTCTAAATAAATGAATGCAATGCTCTGCCACGTACAAGTCATGGCAACAGGGCACTGTGAGAGTTTATAAATCTCGGTACCAGTCATCAAATCGGCAGAGGAAATGAGAGAAGACAGGTAACTCTAATGATGTGAGGTAGAGTGTGACAAGGTGTTCTAGCACCTTCTGGCTGAGGGGATCAGAACACCACCAGAAGGCCTCCTCATTCCATGAGTAAGCAAAGATCGCTGAGTTCCCAGGAGGCTCTATTATCTGCCAGAAAAGGACATCCATGTTTAGGATTTGAATAACAGTTTAACAGACCTACCCTAATAGCCACACACATTGTGAATTAAACCATACTTAACTTTGACCTAGACCTTCTAATAATAAATGAACCCACAGAAAAGGAGCCTGTTCCTATTGAATGCCAGCAAGGAGACAGTCACAGTGTAATGGACTGGAAGTCTTAAGCCCTAGGACCCATTCAGGCCCTTGCCTGGCTCACCTGCCAGAATTATACAAGGATTTAATCCAAATTTGTTAGATCTACTTTCAGATATACAGAAAAATATAAAAATACATTCACTTTATTTTAGAAAAATGCACACTGGTAGAGTAAGCTGACCATCAGCTGGCCTGTGAGGAGTGACAGAATTCACAGGAAAAAGTTCTGGAAGCCAGCTGCCTGCCTCACCTCTCCAAAAGGCCTGGATCCAGTAGAGGATGTGATTCTGGAAGACCTCTCCTGAGAGAGCAGGGCAGCTGGCTTCAGAGGTCGTCCATGTGAAAATGTCCAGTGAAACAAGGCCTGGAAAGAAGATCAAACTCTCCAGGGTCAATGGCAAGATTAGTGGTACAAGGGACAAGTCACTTGCCTGCATTTCTCCTTTTCTGTTTGTTAGTTCCATGATGGGCAAGTGACCTCTTTTCTTCTCAGCTTCTTTCAGTCCAAAGAGTTTGAGTCTCTGCCAGCTCAATCCACCCCATCCCACAGTCTCTATTCTTAGGGGTTGGCCCTGGTGGCATCTCTTCTTGCTGTCCCTGGGCCAGACTCTGGTGGAGTTGGGGCCTGCTGGTAGAGGCGAGTCCAGGCAGTGACTGTAGTGGTTTGCTACTGAATTCTTGCTTGTTGTCCTGATTTCTTTACCTGAAGAGACAGGAGGAACTGCTTTACAGTGCCCTTCTCCCTCAGGCCTGTCTGTTTTCCAGCTGAGCTCAAGCTCCTTCGGCATGGGAAGAAATGAGACCCCCTGTCCTCAATCCCATTGTTCCATAAAGAATTCAAGGATGCTGTGTATAGCAGCTGGGAAACCCAGATAATAGGGGTGGAGGGACCTGTCTTACCTGGTAGGTCCCGGGACCGCAACTTTCCTGGGGGGCTGCAGATTGCTGCGAGTGGCACCAGTGACAGGAAGATTTGGTCGCTGGGACACACCTTGATGGGGATTAAACAAAAGAACTGAGTTAGCAGACAGTTCAACCGACCTCAAGAAGGAGTTCTGGATAGAGGCAGAGCGCCTCCCTCCAAAGGAAAACCATGAGGTACTTGGAAATCAAGGCCCAGCCTCTGCCTAGCCCCAAAGTCCTTTCTTCAAGCAGTGTCCCCCTCTTCAAATTAGGAGCTCTTCCTCTGTAAGGTAGATAGTGAACGGGGTTATTGTGGTTCTGGGAAGGCAAGGCCAAGCTGAGTCAGGGCAGATATTCTTCCTCCTGATTTCTTACCCTATGTCCACTCCTCCTCACCTCTGGGCCCTGAAGCACTTGGTCTTGGAAGCCCTTTCCGAGCTGACAGAGAATCTGGAGGTAGAGCACCTTTGCCAGGTGGTCCACTCCGGCTGGTGAGTGGCAATCGGCTGGCAGGCCTGGGGATGGCTGAGGGAATGGGTAGTCTGCTGGAAGTTTTAGTGGTTGCTCCCTGTGGCCGGGATGGGCGTTGAGAGTTGCTGATTGAAGGTTGTGGGACCAGGACTGGTCTGACAGGAGCAGGTGGACCTGCTGGAAAGGATCAGAGGCATTTCAGGGTAAGTTCAACTTCCTTCCTACTCCCATCATCCACAGCTTTGTTGCTTGGGTCTCACTTGCTGCTGTCCTTGCACTGGGCCCAGCTTTCCCCCGGGGTGGAGGAGTTGATCGTGCAAGAGGAGACGATGCTGGGCTTTTGGATGCAGGGAACAGACTGCAAGTGGGCGACTCCTGAAACACAAAGAGAGAAAGGCACAGAATGGAAGGAGCATCTGTTCTGCTGGTTGAACGGGATTAAGGAACACAGGTAGGGAGTTGTCCAGATCCCAGTGATAAACAGAAATTAGCTGTCAATAACACCATCATCACTATTACCAATATCACTCTTCTTTTTTTTTTGGCAGTACTGGGGTTTGAACTCAGAGCCTCATGCTTGCTAAGCAGGTGCTCTACCAATGAGCCACCCTGCCAGCTCAGTAATATCCCTCTTACTGAGAGTTTATTAACGTCATTAGAGTCCATACAGCACTGTGGCAAATGCTTTTTTATGGTTAGTTCATTTAATTCCGACAGTTCCAGGGATAGAATGGCTATCTTGATTTGACCAGAGAGGAAACCACTCCAGACCTGCAGTGTGTCACGCACTGTGTCTAGGGGCACACATGCAACTCAACCCCCCAAACTCACCCTCTTTGTGCTGGAGGGCCTCTTTGCAGATGCCACCCGAAGAGCCCTGGCCGACCCCTTCTTGTCACTGCTCCGGAGTCTTGGTGTCAGGCTGCTTGGGGAGGGTGTGCTCCAAGACAAAGAGGTCACAGTGGGCAGCAGATCTCGGACAGGGCTGTCCTTCAGCACAAAAGTCTCCCGCCGAGGGCTGGGCTTCCCTCGGTGAGGCCCAGGGCTCTCTCCTGCGCTCTCCCGCTCCTGCAGGGCACACTGCTCCAGCTGAGCTGCCAGCCGATTGGCCTCATCCAGGATCTCCTCCAGCTTCTCTGGGCTGAGAGGGCCTAAGCTGAACCTCACACCCTGGGAGGCAGCAGCCACTGCATTCGGATTACTTCTGTGGGAGAGGCCCCGTCGAAGTGGTTTCTCTGGAGTCACCAGCACTGCTATGTCATCCTCCTCACGACTGACATGGAAAACAAATGAATAACCCACACAAGAGAGAGAAGACTGTGCAAGAGAGGCAGAACAAAAATCTCTGCAACGAGACTGAGGCCACAGCCTCAAATCCTGATGCCCAGTCTGGCTGTGAGGGGGCCTCGGGGTGATTTGACACCAGGTTCTATGAGGCCCAATAGGCCTTTAGTACGTACTGATGTTGGAAATGATGCCAGGTTAAAGATACAGCATATCCGTTTACCTTTCTTTTGCTTTTGTTTTTTGAAAAAGTCTCACTATGCAGTCTAGGCTAGTCTCAAACTTACACTCCTCCTGTCTCAGCTTCCTGAATGCTGGAATTACAGACAGCTCTGCACCACCACAACCAGTGCATTTGCCATTCTTAACATCCTAAAATTTCACCCCAGCTTCTTCCTTCTCTCTCCCTCACTAATAGTGTCCAAGAGGCCCAGGTCCACCAGCTACCCTGAAGCCTGTGTCCACCAAACATTGCAAAATTACCAACCTTGCCTCCAGAGGCCAATAATAATTCAGTAGTAAGTGGTGAGAGAGAAAGAAGTGTGTGTTGTTGAAGGAAAAGAAGCAGGATAAAGGGGTTGATACCTGTCGGATGGGGACAGTCCCCCAAAGTCCAAGGTCTCATCCACAATAAACTTGACATCTGAAAGGACACGAAGGATGAATGTCAGCCATTGATAGGTTATCACAGGGCCTCGTTCTTCCCACCAGGGCTTCCTTACCTTCCTCCAAATCCTCCATATCCAGCCAGCAGAAGCGAAGCAGCTTAGGCCTGTGCTGGAGAGAAAACATACCTATCTTCAGGTAACCATCCTACTCAAGGTCCCAGCTAGACTCAGGGTGTAGGCCAGGGACGGGGGCACATGCTGGAAGCAAAACAAGCGCCCAGGACCACACCTGCCCCTGTAACCACCTCGTTATCTCCAGGAAAAGTGCAGCGAGCTCCCGCCCCCCTGCGTCCTGGCCTCTCCTCACGGGGGCGATCTTCGCGTCCCACCTTCCTCTCAGTCACTATCCTTTGGGGTTTTCCTCTCCCTCAGCCAGTTTTCCACTCCCCCGGCACCACGCCTGCAGCTCACACTCACTTTCTACTTTACTATTTACCTTCCACGCAGGACCCTGTTCTCCTGCCACCTAGTCCCGGGAATCGGCTCCCAGGGGGCGGGGCTTCTTTCGAATTTTCCCAGGTTCCACCCACTTCTGCCGCACGCGCACGGTGATTGGTGGATACTCAGGGGGCGTAACTGCAGGGGCAGACGCCCGGAAGTTTGTAGGTGGGGGGGCCGAGGACGGGAGCGCGCACGCGTGCCCGGGGAGCCCCCCCTTCCGCTTCCAGGAGGGAAGCCTTGCGGCACGAGAGAACGAGCCAATGAGGGCGGACTTCGCGCCTCGCCCCACCCCCTCTGCCCCGCCTCCTCCTCTGGGCAGAAGTGACGGGGTTTACGACCTCATTGCTTTTGCGGCCGCGGCTGAGCTGGGGAGCCGCGGTCTTAGGGGACGGCCCTGCACCCCCAAACTCACAATCTGCCGGAGGAAATTCGTTACCGTGGTAGCACTCCATATACAAACGCCGCATTTGCCAGGTTTGCTCGCTTGTGATTTTTCCAAGTTGAGAAAGCACCCAAGCATTTATATCCCAGGTATATTGAGGGGGGGGGTCCTAAGAAGTGCACCCTCCATTGCCTTTTTTTGTGTGTGTGTGGTACTGGGGCTTGAACTCAGGGCCTACACCTTGAGCCACTGCACCAGCCTTCCCTCCCCACCCTTTTTTTTTTTGTGATAGGTATTTTCGATGTAGGGTCTCGCGAACTATTTACCCGGACTGGCTTGGAACCGCGATCCTCTTGCTCTCTGCCCCCTGAGTAGCCAGGATTACAGGCGTGAGCCACCAGCGCCCCGGCCTCCATTGCCTGTAAAAGCCAGAACCTTAAGAACCAGAGGCTGCCGATGTGTAAAGAAGACAACTGGCTTTTCACTCTGGAAGATTTGGGTTGAAATCCAACAGTGACTCCTTTTACAAGCTGGGCAGACTTGAGTTTATTTGCCCTCTTGACTTCTGTTGGCTTTTTTTGTGAAAGGAGGGTCCTGGGCCTTGCAGAGGGTTAGGAGGATAATTATGAACGTGAAGTTTTGTACCGTGTCCCCTTAGGGACTTTTGAGGGGGTGTTTGCAACTAGCTACTTGGAACTAAAAGCTGTTTTTGTAAAAATGCTTAAACTTGCTCCCTGGGATGTTCTCTCTTGTTTCCAAATATCGCCTGTGAAAAGGCCAGGCCACCACGTAACAGAGCGTCTTAGAAATGTTCTAAAAGCTTTAAGTGGAAAGGCTGAGAACCATTCCTGTAAACAAAAAGGCCAGGCTTTTAGTCCTTAGGTTGCCACCATTTTGGTTTTAGCTGTAGTGTTGAGGTGGCAAGGTCCACAGGAGGGAGAGATGTCACTGTAGTAAATGTCTCAGGAAGCAGGAGCCTTGGAATTTAGCAGAGTCATAAGGGAAAGGGTGGGAGGTTCCAAACTTGTAGGAGTGTGAGGAATAGCAGAGAGAAGAGGCTTGCTTTTCTGGGGTGGATGTGGAATGGTACTTGCTTGCAGGATCCAGGATCTAAGGAGACAGGGAAGCCAGAGCCAGAAGCTTCCCTCCCTCAGGCAGAGGAGTAGCAAAGGAGATTAGAGAGGAAGAAGGAATTTACTGCATTCCTTCCTCTCTAGGAGCAGCTTTCAGTAGAGGTTGCTATACTTCACCTAATCTTAGGTGAGGAGTGAGGAAGAAAGTTTTAGCAAATTGGAATTTCTCCTAAGGAATTCATCTCCAAACTTTTTGGTGGTACTGGAATTTGAATTCAAGGCTTCACTCTTGGTAGGCAGGCTCTACCACTTGAGCCATGCCTCTAGCCCTTTTTGCTTGGTTATTTTGGAGATAGGATCTCACTTTTTGCCCAGGTGGGCCTGGACTGCAATCCTCTTGTTTTATGTTTCCCCACCATAGCTGGATGACAGGCACGTGCCACAATGCCCACTGTTCGTTGAGATGAGGTCTTGTGAACTTTTTGTCCAGACTGGCCTTGAACCACCATCTTCCCAGTCTCAGCCTACCAAGTAGCTAGGATTACAGGTGTGAGCCACTGGTGCCTGGCATGATCTCCTTCAATTTTCTGTTATTAAATTATGATTTTGAAAGCTGTTGCAGTATCAGGAAGGGGAGACTGTAATGGAACTGCCTTCTTCATCAGTTATAGCAAAGTCAGAAAGTGAAAATTTCACACATGAGAATTCTTTGTCTAGTATAAGGCCACAGCTATAAGAAATATTTGATATTTGTTCTGCCACTTCAACCTAAATGACATGCATGAACAGCTGTTTAAGGTTTGGGATAAATAATGAATTGATGAAGAAATTATACTCCCAGGCACACATGGGCCCAGAAGGAACTCCATTAGTATCAAATGCATAAAAAAAAAAACATTAATGACCTGGGCACCAGTGGCTCACACCTATAATCCTAGCTACTAAGGAGGCAGAGATCAGGAGGGTCAAGATTTGAAGCCAGCCCAGGCAAATAGTTCATGAGACTCTATCTCCAAAATATCCAACATAAAATAGGGCTGGCAGAATGGCTCAAGTGGTAGAGCGCCTACCTAGCAAGTATGAAGCCCTGAGTTCAAACCCCAGTGCTGCAAAAAAAAAAAAAAAAAATTTCAGGGCAGAGTCCTTAAATGCAGAGAATGATCTGTGACTGAAGGTCTTGTTTGGTGCAAAGATTTTATTTTTTTACCAGGAAGGTTGAGGGTATATGAGCTTTAAGGAAGGGTCCTGAAGTAATTCCAACAAATAGCAGAGACCAAGGTCTGACTGATCCACCTGACCTAGGTCCTCTTCTGCTGGAGAGAGCCCTCTGCAACTGTGTAGATAGCAGGCTGGCTCTGGATTTAGAGCCCTGCTCCCAGATTCTCAAGCAGGGTTTCCATGAGTGCGTTAGGCCTTACAAATGACCTGTATAACTATTGTCTTGATTTCCCCATGGATTGTATATAAGTAGTAACAATCTAGAGGCATAGGAAGCAGTTAATTTATGACATACAGTGGACAGCTTGTGACTTGGGGGTTTGATTTTCCCAGAAGTCCAGTTGAGAAGAGCTGGAATAGACACTTGAAAGTAAGCAAGGGAAACTTGCATCCCAGCCCTTTGTTTTGGGGGCTGTCTTTAATTAGCTACGTGTGTGTGTGTGTGTGTGTGTGTGTGTGTGTGTGTGTGTGTGTGTGTATCCTGCTGTTTGCTGCTTTGTGGTGAATGAACATCCTGTTATCCCAACTTAAACGCTGAGAGCCAGAAGAAGAAGAGAGAGAGTCATTATTGTCTCTTTCTAGTACCTTGTATTATGTAGAGCTGAATTCAATTCTGTCATAACCTGTCTAGGAAAGGACAGTGTCAGAAACCTCTGAAGAGAATGTGGATATGAAGGAAGAGAAGAGAAAGAGGAGTCTTAGGGTTCTGGGATCCATATTGTCTGCCTAAAGAATCCCAACCTTCTAGTTGTTTTTTTCTCATATGGAAAGGCTCAAACAGAGGACGCTTGGATTCTCACATTTATTTAGATTAGTCTAAACCAGACACTGGCCGAAGCTCCTTAAGAATACAGTTTTGTCACACCTCAGGCTTCTGGATGCCCTGAAAAGAGAGGGTGTGTTTTAGCCATCACAGCAAACAGAACACATTTGGGATGCTGAGGCTGTCCTTCGTCCTGGTCCCATGGTTCCTGGGTCCTGTGCAAAGAATTTACTATCCACCCTACTTCACTTCTGGGCAGTGGCTGTGAAAGAGGGAAGAGGACAAACGAACACCAGCAAGATACAGCATTAGGGGGAGGGCAGAGAGGAGAGAACAGGCTTCGCCAGCCAGCTGGCAGAGGGAGCTCTCCTGAGGAGTGAGTGCTTTTAATGCAGCCCTTAGGGTTTTCATTTGCTATGTATCAATGATGGACTTAACTAAATGGCTCCAGGAATTGAATTCATGCTCAGTTTTCCTCAGCCAGGAGCTGTGAGTCTGGGGACATTGGGAGCTACCTTACTCATCAGTTTATGCACAGCATTTCTCCCATGAATGATTTAGAATTTGAAGAAGCTACCAAATTCTGAATGATGATCCGAGTGGCCCTTTGCCAATAAGGGATGGTTTGGGAACCACATACCCAAATGTTAAATTATTATTGACATATAATGAAAATGGGGATTCTTCTTCTCTTGGCCAGGAAGCAGTGCATGAATTGCAAAGTAAAATGTAAACAAGCCAGGCTGTTTCTTGCCTTGCTTATGATACTTAAAAAGTATACTTAATGGGCAAGAGCAGCCTCCTGTCCCTTCCACACCCTGGTACTCTGGGGTGGCAGGGACTTTTGCCTGTTCCTTCACCCTTAAACCATTCCCTCAACATCTTTTTCTCACAGTGCCTGCCCAGCTCCTCCCAAAGAGCCCCTGTGATGAGGTAGATGCTTTCACACTTCAGAAGGCCATTAGGTTTAATTCCTATCACCAACTTGAGATGTGACAACAGAGGATGCGACAGAAATGGACTTTATCTGTGACAATTTCCTCCACAGGGGGATTGTAATAGCTTTTTAAAAAACAAAGTGGTCACCAGGGAGTACATGGTTGAGAGACTCAGGAAAACATATCTGTGCCAGATCAACAACACTTAGCTGTAAACATGAAACAACCCATCAAGACATGCTGCTCCTTATCCTTACCATTCTAGGTGCCATGTCCTCTTTGGTAGCTCAATGAGGAGCTGCAAGAATGTGGACATTTTTGAATGTTAACATCTCAGAAATCTTGGAAACCTTCTTTCAGAGCATTCAGAAAAGATTCTAGTTAAGGTTTTGAGAAATCCATAGTGCTAGTTAGGGAATCTATACATACATAAAGGCTCATTCATTTCTGATTCATGTAAAAAATATTTAGACAGTGTCAACTGTGTGTCAAAACCAAGGCTGGACACGGGACCCTCACATTTAATGGGGAAACAGACCTATAAGTAGATAATCATAAAACAATATGCTAAATGCACCGATGGACATTCATGCAAGGTGGCAGGGATGGATAAATGAATGTTTCCAGGAGGACGGGAATGTATGTAGTATGACCTTAAACCCAAGGGGAAAGTAAAATAAAGTCCAAAAACAGCTTTAGCTTTCCTGGACTGGGTCAGGAGATTGTATAGCTTAAAGAAAAGCCACCTGAGTGAGGACCAGGAGACCTGGGCTCTTTACCTCTGTAATGCCAGTTCCTCAACTAACCAGCACTGGGAATACTGGGTAGATCAGTTGTCTCCCTGTGTTTCACGTTTCCCCTTAGCAAAATGAAAATAATGATTCTTCCTATATTACAGAATTGTGATGGAGAGAAATGAGACAGTGGCTAATAAAAATGGTGTTTCTGATATGTCCTGATGGTAACAGAGATGAGAGGGCCTAGGGGAGAGCCCTTCATCTCAGTTGGTGTCACTGGCCACTCACTTTTCCACTGGTGAAGAGGGAGATTGGGCAAGTGGAGTGGCTATAGTAGAGTGCTTGACTAGCAAGCATGAGGCCCTGAGTTCAAACCCCAGTACCGCCAAAAAAAAAAAAGACCAGTACCCTTCTGCCCTTACCTTTCACCTCTACCCGACATTCCACAGCCGCCTCCCCTAGGGCATTAATGGCCTTGCAGGTATAGATCCCTCCGTCAAAGGGACCAGGCTTGCGGATTTCCAGGGAGCAGATTCCCAGGTGACTGAGGGCTCTGTATTTGGGGTTGCCTTGGATATCCATCTTGTTCTTCAGCCAGATGATCTTTGGCTGGAAGATACAGATAAGGGGCCACCAAGGGGAAGTAAGAACCAATTGCAGTTTCTGTGCTCACTACCTTCAGTCACCCAAGCTCCTCCTTGTTGAAGAGAATGCTTGGAACCTCACCTTCCCCATCAGGTGTTCCTGACGAGAAGAGAGGCAGTAACCTGCCCCATACTGCTCGAGTAGCCATCATAGGTCTTAAGCATTGGGTGTCAGGGTCTCTGCTTCTTATGCTTACACCGAGGGCCATTCACAGTCTGTTCCCACTGCTAGCTTGGGAGTACTTCCTGTTCCCTCTGGTTAGAAAGTAGTCTCTAGAGTGGGCTTATTTCTATTCTCCTCCACAGATGTTATTTCCATGTAGCCTGGCCCAGCATTGGTAACTGAAAGGTACTTGGTAAAGGTTGTTAATGGTGTGGGACACGGTGACAGTGACTAGACTGTAAGTAGAAAGGCTTACTCAGGGTTCTGGCCAGAGTCTCAACTCTAGTCAGTGTGGAGGTGCATGCATGGCCCTGCTCAGGTAACCATGGTTAGGTGAGTGAGGAGACACCAATGGGACTCTGTCTCTCCTGCCAGATAACTAGAAGCTCATGCCCAATCACATCAAGTCAGTAAGTGACATCTGTGTATATGCAGAACCAATGCTAAAAGGAAACATCACTTGCACCAGTCTATGTTGAATTACAAATGGCCCGACTGTCTCTAAAAGTAACTTGCTGTTGAAGAGGCAGATGGTAGCCATGGTTGTAGATCTTCAGTGAGAATGCCCTGTGACTGCTCACATTAGAAGGGACAGGAACAGGAAACAGTTTAGCACCCCCCAGAACTCCCCACTCACCCTGGGATAGGCACGGACGCAGCAGAAGAGCTGAGTGTCATAGCCAGTGATTGTAGTACAGTCTGCCAGTGGCTGGGTGAACTTTGGGGCTTCTGAGAAGTCCCGCTGGGCAAACCCTTTGGCCTTGTAAACAGCAGCTGTGGGCACCAAGAGGGGCCATGAGGCAGATCTGAGATCCCTGGTCCTCTTTAGTTCTGTTTCTTTAGTCTTTGCAGCTCACACAGTCCTTCCTTACCTGCTTTCTGGATGTGGGCAAAGTCAGCTGTGATGGAGGCTGTTTTGCTGAGCCCACACTGGTTTTCAGCAAAGACCTGAAAGGCATAGGAGTTGCCAACAATGAGGTTGGAGACAATGCAGCTGGTTCGGTGACAATGCTCCAGCACTGTGAACCACAGCTGCAGGGTTCCCAGAAGAGGCCGTGCATGAGACACCTGTTAGTGAACTCATCCCTCACGGAGCTTACCAGAGCCCGTTCCAGGATGCCCTGTTCCTCACCCCCCCTTCTCAGCTGGGCCTCACCCCAGATTTTGTGTCCGCCTTCTGCACGGTGTATCCCAGGAGTGTCGTATTGCCTGTGTCTTGGGGAGCTGTCCATTCCAGAGTAGCATTGGTGCCCCAAACATCCACCAACTTAACATTCTGAGGAGGACCTGGCCTCTCTGAAAGGGCAAAGCTGTGGCATTGGGCAACCTACTGCCCCCATCATTGAGGTAACTTCTAGTGTGCCAAGTCCCCTTCTTCTGCTTAGACTCCTCCCCTCAATGTCCCAGGCTCAGGGTGGGAGCATCACCCCCAGCTCTCCCACCTCTCTGAGATGGTTCCTCTTCAGCATGGAGAGGGAGCTCCTGGGGACCACCTTACCTCCCACTCCCCTCACCTTACCGATCACCAGGATATCAATGGTGGCAGTGGCCTCCAGCCTGCCCAGCTGCACATGCAGTTGGTAGCGGCCTGAGTCCACATGTTGGACTTCTCTGATGAAGAGGATGGAGTCTTGCTCCCCATTCCGCACACTCACACGATTGGTGTCCAAGGCACAGCCATTGTGTGTCCAGGTGGCTCGAGGTTTGGGCTTGCCCTGAACAGCGAGGATGAGGCATGAGCTTCTGGACCCTCCCTGTGGCAGCAGGCTGCAGGTCCACCCCAGCTCCACAGGGTGCCTTGACAAGCAGCTGCAAATTCCTTGAGCTAGAGGTTTATGGACTCTTGCAGGAGATTTCTTCCTATCAGTAGCAGCCTCCGATTCATGGGGTAGGGAGGACTTTGAATCTCCCACCCTTGCAGAGTTTAGGCCATGGACACCCAGGACAGCTGGGACCAACCGAGTAGCTGCCCCCACTCCCAAGAACCCTCCGAATTGAGCTCCCAGACCTCTGCAGACTGAAGGCATGGATTAGCCTTACCTTCTCCCATAGTGCGTGCCTCACCCCATCCAAACCCACCCTCGGGAATGCAGAATGGATGGATCATCCAGCTTCAGACTTCTGGTGATGTGGCCCCTTCATCCAACCATCCGAAGCCAGGAAGACTGCCCCTCTGCAAGCAGGCCGCCTGCTGTCTGTCTCTAAGTCAAAACCTTGATCTGGACCCAGTGTGGGACTGGCTTAATCACCTGGAATGGGATTAGTAGGTTCACTGTGTCCCCAACCTTCCGGATGTAGGTCTGCCTTAGGGCCCGAGGTAGCCAGATCTTGGGGTGCTCTGAGTGATGGAAAGAGAGAAAACAGGAGATGGACACTCAGGAAATGATTATTGAATCCTGTTGAACTCTATGGGTGGTGGCCCAGTCATCCTTTACCAAATTAAGCCCACATTTTAGGTGATGGGTTTTCCCTTGTCTCCCCCACACACTCACCTGTCCTGCGGATGAACCCAGCCCCTCAAGCCCAGGACCTCAAGCATGCTAGGCAAGTGCTCTACCTCCAATCCACATCCCCAGCCACTCCCACCATTCTGCTGGAATTTAGAGATGAGGATTGGCTGAAGGAGCCCCAGGGAGAGCATTAAAGTCTCTGCAGAAAGAGCAGTGAAATGTGAGCCTGACACTTCTTTTAATTTATAGCTCTCAACTACTACCTTCCATCAGCTGGCATTTTGTTTCTGTTTGTGCACAGACCAGTCTGTGTGGTTTGTCTTTCCAACACTTTTCTATTGGCCTTAATAACATGGCTTGTATCTATCTGGCTGCTTTCAATGTTAATCTGACCTCCCAGTTCTGCAGGACCCAGGAGAATACTCGTTGCTCTGCAGACAGAGGCAACACCCCAGCCTCCTGAAGCCCTCCACTGACAGCTCTGACATCATCACAGAGGAAGACAGAGTCTGGGTCCCTTCCTTTGCACACCCTGCTCCCCATGCACAGTGTTCTTTCTGTTGGTGCAGGATCACTTTGTACAAACAAAATCTGGGAAAGATTAGGTCTCAGCTTACTTCCCCTTGATCTCCCAGGCCTGTCCCAGTGAGTGGAGGTTAGATGACATTTATTGGCTTCAAAGATGAAGACAGGAGATGCTGAGTGTGAGGTATGGAGAATGACCAGATGTCACTCTCTGGGAGATGGCACAGGCTACCTTGGCTACCCAAGTGCAAACATCCCACCTGGTACCCTTGGGGGCCTGGCTGAGACAAGGCCATTTTTGCCTCTTTCTCAAGCAGAGACCATCCCCTGCTGCTGCGTCTTAAGTAGAATGTAACAGTGCTTCAGTTCCCACACACAACCCAGGCCTTTCTGCCAAAACTCATTCCTAGCATTTGGAAACGCTCCACACCCGGCACATTCCTCTGGCAAACAGAGTGAATGCCTGATAGTGGATTCCAGGCTTTTTGATAACAGTATATCCCTGTGGCTACATTCCTGAGCATTCTGCCCAACATAGTATGTTTACTTATGGATTGAACTCTTTAAATACTGAGGTTGTATACGGCAAAGATTAGTAATGAAGTTTTAAATAAACTGGTTCTGCTATGTTCTTCCTACACTTCATGTAGACCTCCCCGTTACAATCTTTTTTTTTTTTTTTCTGGCGGTACTGGGGTTTGAATCAGGGCTTCATGCTTGCTAGGCAGGCACTCCACCACTTGAGCCACTCTGCCAGTCTCAACAGTGCAACTTTGTAAGTGAATATTAATCCACAGTGCTGGCTTTCTTGCACTTGTTTTCCTGTCTTGGACTTGCCTTTGGGATCTGTACGCTAGGGGACCTGAGTGTTCTCAGTAAGAACAGGGCAGCGATGCAGCCCAGGCCACCCAGTGACCCTGCACTGCTGACTGGTGGTTGGGGGTGGAGCAGGAACAACGGAAGTATGTGTGATGTGGTCTCCTCCTGCAGCCATCTTGGCAGGCAACCAAGGAGTTGAAAACAGGCAGATAATGAGTTCGGGTTTTTTGAAAAAGAGGGTTGTAATTGGAAAAGGATGGTGAAAACATCATCTTGTTGAGTGTGGCTTCCCGCTGTTGGGTGGGGAAATAACTCTTCATACCTGCTCGAGAGAGGGCCAGAGATCTCCTGTCCCTTATGCTGGCAACAGAATATTAGTCATACAGGACATTGGTGAGCACCCAGAACAAGGACACTACTGGAAGAAAAAGGGCTCAGAGAGAAGCAATGATTTGCTGGTGAACTCCCGCACAGTTGTGAAGTTGGGCCTGGCATCCAAGACTCCTCCCTCCCCATCCTTACTCTCTAAGCATAGCCCATCTGTCTGCTCACCTGTCCCCTCCAGTGTCTGCCTAGGGCTGGGCTCTGCCTGGCCTCCTGTGACCTGGAGGCAAAGAAGGGAAGGTGGAGGGGGAAAGGACTGAAAGTTGAGGTGAGGACAGAAAGCCAGGCCTTCTGCCTGGGAGAAGTGCCAACTGAGGCCTACTCTGCTTAGACCTCAGGTAGGAGCTGGGCTTTTCTGGATGGATGGATGCTGATGTCAGTTTCCACCTGGTGTTTCTTTTGTTTCTTAGAAAAATAACTTGGAAAATGTTAGTGGTCTTTGTCTGAGCTAAAGAGAAAAATGGGGGGAGTGGGTTTATGTGGAACATAAGCCCAGGAAGGAGGCTGGGGGGATTTGCAGGGTGGCCTTTGAGTTCCCACAAAGTCCACTTGAGGAAGCACCAGAGTTGGGAGGCAACGGTGGAGGTGGGGTCTCCCTGCCGAGGGCTCCCAGGCTGGCTGCACCCACACTTTGTAAGAGGGAGTCCTCCACAAGAAGGTGACTGAAGTCACCAGGGTGTCACAACTCTCTGAGGATGAGTAGATAAGACCTTTGTTCTCAGTAGGCTCCCGGGCCCTGGGGAGGACAGAGGACCCTGGGGAGGACAGAGCGTTGAGGTTGGGGAAGCACCGAGGTGCATAAGGGGCTTGGCAACTCCAGATGCCCGGTCAGCAGTGAGCTCTCCAGTCACTTCCCAACTCAACGCAGGCAGCAATCTGACCATTTGATCAGAATGTTGACACAGGGCTCATTTGAGACGACTGTTCTCACACCTTCAATGTCCAGTGAGGTGTAAATTGTACTGACCTTGGGGAGGCACAGCTTCCCCTGCGCCCAAGGGCTTTCTCCTCCTCGGATGCCAAGAGGGATGTGAACCAAAGCCCAGAGCTCTAAAGCAGAACCTTGGCTTTTTCAGACCAGGCCTATGACAGCCGCAGTTTGTTTTCTCCCTTCAGATCTTGGGGAAAAGGCATTTGAAAAGTTCTCTGTAAGCCACTGACTTCTGAGCTGGGCTGTTCTCAGCATTCTTTCTCTCAACAGAATGTTCTAAAAAAATTTTTGGAGGAGATAAAGCCTAAAGATCTTGACTCCTGATTAGAAAATTCCTCCTAATTTTAGTCTGCTGAAGTCTATTCCCATTTTATTTTTTTCATGGGAAATAATTGTTCATATCCTTTCAAAGTTTCCTTTCACACAAAAGTCAGAGACTTTTCTCCAGCCCTTCCTTGAGGGCTATGTAGTTCAGACATGTTATAAACTATGTTCTGGAGAGTGAAAAAATGAGACTGATACATTGGAGAGGGGTGTGTGTGTGTGTTTGTGTTTGTGTGTGTCTATGAGAGTATATGAATATGTGGGGGTACATGAACAGACACAAACACATACCTACCTGTTTGAGTGAAAGGTTACCAAAATAGAGCAAAGACTCTGGCTGGGCATGGTAGTCCACTTCTATAATTCTAGCAACTCAGGAAGCAGAGACAGGAAGATCATGATGTAAGGTCAGCCTGGGCAAAAGTGTAAGATCCTACCTGAAAAACAAACTAAAAGGCAAAGGGCTGGTGGAGTGGCTTAAGTGGTAGAGCAACTGCCTAGCCTGCTTTAGGCCCTGAATTCAAACCCTAGTACCACAGAGAGAGAGAGAGCGAGCGAGAGAGAGCAGAGGCTCAAGGCCAGCTATGGCCTTTGAAATTAAAGATTTCCAGAGGTTCTAAGAAGTTGCAAGCATTTTTTAGAGAGACATTTGCAGATGCCTAGGGTATGACTATAGCCTTAGAAATTTGTCTGGAAGACTGTGATGGGAAGAGTGGGAAGAGTCTGGTGAACTCAGACAAACCTTGTGAAGGGCTAGGGGGTCACCCCCTTGAAGATCATGAGAGTAAGATTAGGAAAAGCAAAAAGACATAAAAACAGGCAATGCTTCCTTGGATTTTGGCCCCACCTCATCATAGTCTTGGCCTCATGCGTGGTGTTTTTGGCTCTGGCCTGCCGCCTCCATCTCCAGTCACAGGTCCTGGTGATTTCATTGTCCAATCTTCCAACTCCTGCAGGCCTCGCACCTCCTGGTCCACCATTCTGCAAAGCCTCTGTGCTCCCCTGCCTCAGCCACTGGACTCTGGTCATCCTCTAGATTGACAGCTGCAAGCCCTGTGTCATCTGAATTGAGTGTCCCACTCACTATCACTGTAACAGAGACGGTGTTGGCCACTGTCACCAGTGTTACCCCTCCCACAGTGCAGTGGCTTCTGAGAAGTGGCCGGCCAGCCAGGCACATTTCTGCGCCCCTTGCTGTAGGTCACGAGAATGATTCTCAGCAGTAAAATGTGAGTGAAAATGGTGGAATTGCTGTGGGGCCACAGCTGGTAAGAAGCGAGCCCCCGTGTCCCTGGGGGCAGATGAACTCTGAGCCCGAGAGCAGTAGCACCCTCCATGAAAAAAGTTTGCATCCCTGAATTGCTGTACAAGAAGAGCTAGCCACTGAAGAGGGACACTGTGGTCTGTTCTTAAACCAGTAAGAAACACCCATTGCTCCCCCAAAATCTTTGTTTCACCTGCTAGCACTCCTTGCCTCACAATCTCTTCCTTTGACTCATTCCGAGCCACTGAGGTTCATTATCCTATTACCACCCACCATCCAGCAGCCCTATGTTTCACTTGGGGGCGTCCATGGTCATGGCAATACTCAAATCCTTCCATCGCCCTTGACCTCTTTGCCCCTGGCAATGTCTAACCCTGGTGAAATTAAGTTCCACCCACTCAGCAGCTGCATACACACAGGCAAGCATGTAGGGGGAAGAACAAAACTATACAGACTTGAACTGATGGCCACTGACCGCAAGCACTGCCTCCAGATGGACCCTGGCGGTTCTGCCAGTGAACTTCCCCAGTTCACTGCATCTCCTGTCCTCCTGGCTGACTGGTGTACATCTTCCTCTTCTAAAACCTCTATACCACTGGACGCCACTGCCTCACACCTGTAATCCTAGCTATTTGGGAGGCTGAGAACAGGAGGATTGTGGTTTGAGGCCAGCCTGGGCAAATAGTTTGTGAGACTCCATCTCCAACACAACCACAGCAAAATGCACTGGGCGTGTGGCTCAAGCACAAGAGTGCCTGTTTTTGCAAGCGCAGAGCCCTGAATTCAAACCCCAGTCACATCAATAACTAAAAGAAAGATAATCTCTATGCCCTCTCCCTCTTTCTTATTCTCAGTTTGCTAGTGTCTAAACCCACTACTGTCTATTCTAAATGCAGCAGCCCGAAAAATCCCCCACACCTACACCTGATCATGGTCTCCTTACTCCTAACTCCATACTGGCTGTCCATCTATCTCTGAATCAAACCCAAGTCTTCACAATGGCCCTGTTAACTCTGCCTCAAACCCTACCACTGACTTCCTCCCTGTGCTACAGCCACCGTGACCCCAACCATAAAACATAAAACAAAAAGGCCTCAGAGTCTTTGCACAGGGTCATCTCTGCATAGAAAATACTCCCCTTAATACCTGCATGCATTGCTCTCTCACCTCTTGTTACATGGCTGCCAGAATACATCCTTATTCGTGAGACCTTCACTGGATATCCTATCTGCATGCTTCTACCCCAAGCACTTTCTGCCCCTTCCCTGTGTCGTATTCTGCACGGCATTTCTCACCATCTGACATGCTACATATTTGCTTGTCTAATTGTCTATCTCCCTCCGCTAGAATGTTACCTCCACGAGGTGGGTTTTGTTTTGTTTTTTTTTGGCCTATATGCCTATATTGTTCATTTCTGAATTGTGGCACCTAAAACAGTGCCTGGCAGCAATAGGCACAAAAATATTTATGGAGGGAGGGAAGGAGGAAAGAAAAGAAGGAAGGAGGGAGGGAAGGAAGGGGGAGGGACTGAGGGAAGGAAGGAGAAAGGGAGGGGGAGAAAGAAGGAAGAGGGAAAGGGAGACAGGAGGGAGGGAAGGAAGAAGGGAGGGAAGGAAGTAGGGCAGGCGACTCCTAGGCATGAGGTAGAGTTTCCCATGCCCGAAAGTCACACCACAGTTCAGATGGAAACAGGGTGCACAGTCAGTTGGAGCAATGGGCACCTGGCCCTCCTTGGTCTGCCTCAGGGACACAGCCCCTTCTCCAGCCTTTCCCTTGACCCCTGCCAGGCTTTGTCTCCAGGACACAGTGCCTCCCTCGGTGCAGCTCTGAGGATAGACCCAGAATTGATTACCAATACTGGCCAGTTAGTCCTGCGTCCTTAGCCACATGGCAGGCTTGGAGAACCTAAAGCTCACTGTTGGCCAGTTGCAGTTTATTTTGATCTTGTAAATTGATTTCTCCCTGCGCTGGTTCCTATGCCATCACATACACACTGCAGCACCCGCTCAGGCCGAGCCGTCTATGAAGACGAGGATTTAGGAGGGAGGCAGTCTTTGAGGCTCTCAGGGAACTTAGGGGTCACTAGTGTAGGGCCTGGCACCCTGCAGGATCTTTGGATGGGCTTCAGCTCTGAACTCCCTTTATTTTTTGGTGTATTGTTTTCAGGGTGAGAGTCTATAACTTTCAGCAGATTTTCCTGGGGTTCCATAGCCATCAAAAGGTTAAGACAGATTTAGCTCAGCTTCTTAATTTACAGATGAGAAAAATGAAGGCCCAGAGATGACTGACCCACCTAGAGTGACAGGACAGAGCTAGGACTTGCACCCATGTCTTCTTTTTGCCAAACAGCTAACAGATGGACACACTTTGCGATGTGTCAGAGGGTGTCCTTCTTGCCATTTGCCTCTGGGAAGCCCCTGGGTTGAGCCACTGGCTGGTGGCCTGAGGCCTGTAGTACACAGAACTGCCTTACGTGAGTCAGGGGCTTCAGGCTTTGCCTGTGGCTCCACAGTGGGAGCTGTCAGGTGCTGGCTGCCCACAGCATCTCCCTCTGAGTCAGGGCAAAGCCTGAGTGAGATGAGTGTTTGCCCTCAGGGATTTGTGGAGGCCAGTGGAGAGTCAGGAGTCAGCAGTCCTCTCCCTCTCCCTATGACTTCTTCTCTAGGCCTCTTAGGAGAAGAAACTGATTTTTCTTGGCCTTGATCACCTCAGCTTAATATGCTCACTGTAACTTCCTCTCCCTCCACCTCTTCTTTAATGGGGCAGATTCTACCAACTCTCTGCCCTGATATTCAAACAGCTCCTGAAACCCAGCGTCTTCTACTAGGATGACAAGAGGCGGACAGATTTCCTGTCCAGCTCTATTTGGAGATGTAACCTCTGACTTAGAAGTGTGGTTTATTCACAATTCAGTTTAGCCTCTTCCAGGGCACTTCAGATTGCCTCATGGATCCTTTCAACTGCCTTACTAGGCAGAAGCTTAACAATCATCTTACCAAGAAGGAGCAGTTATTGACCTGTCCCAAGGCCTCAGAGCTGTTAGAGGCAGCCCTGACAATGGAGCCCAAATCTTTGCCTCAAGTCCAGCACCTTTTCTCCTCCTACCTCTCCCCACCCTGGGAGCCTGAGGGGCTCTTCTCTGTGGTCTTTGCTTCCTTTGCACTCAGGACTTCATCTTCATCTTGTTAAGATGGAAGAACCTGGCTCCCTACCCCCACTACCACCCCCTTCTCTGGTCTGCTGAGCTAGGCGCGGCAGGAGACATACCTGTGCTTGGTTACCAGGGGCCGCCCAGGTGAGCTCCAGACACCTGGGGGAGCAGAGCAATCAGGGCTGGAAGGACACGGAGCACCAACACCGCCTTACTCAAGTGCTTCTTTCCTGGGACCATCACCAGGGGAAATTTGAATGCTTCTCCCTGGAGGGCTCCAACTCTGAGAGGCCAGTTTCCCGTGGAAACATTGGGGGTGTTGAGGTAGGCCCCCCATGCCATGGCACAGCCCAGGGGGAGTCTGAGTGTCACTGCACTGTTTGACACTCAGCCTCCCAGTGGCCACAGCTTTTGAGTCCCCCTTCCCCCACTGCAGACTGGCCACTTTCTGACTGGCCACTAGTCTATCAGGTCTTCCCAGTCCTTGTGACAGGTTTTTTTTTTTTTTTTAAAGAAAAATATAAGCAGATCATTTTTTGTCATTGAAGGGCCACAAACATCATTCACTAACTTCTTGGCTAAAAAGCAAAACCCCAGCAGATACCTTGTGCAGCAAGTCAGAAATCAAGGAGGAGAGTGGGGGCTGCAGTGACTGATCCTGTATCCGAAGTACCAACCCCATAAAGTTGTTAAGCTCTGTAAAAACTTACTGAGGTGCTATCAGATGGTAGGAAGTCCTCCCCAGTTCCCTCTGCTAGCCCTCCCCACTCTCACCCACCGCCATGGGTCACCTTCTATAGCGATGATGGGAAGTCCTCCCCAGTCCCCACAGCCAGCCGCACCCCCTCACTCTCACCCATCTCCATGGGTCACCTTCTATGAGGGGCAGGAGGCTGCCTGCCCCCTGTTGAGGTGAAGCCTGGGGTCTTTCGGTATCCACTGCACTGACTTCTTCCACCTTCAGCTTGGAACCTGAGACCACCTCTGGAGTTGGGGCTGCCTCCATACTGGGCCTACTGGAGATGATTACAGCTGAAGACTTTCACTGTTGGTGGTGAGGGAGGGCTGAGCACTTGCTTTCCAGGCAGGCCTCCTGGGGTTCCAGACACAGGCTTATGTAAGTGGGCTGGCCTTTCCCCATCCACCTACTCCCAGCAGAAGGGTGAAGTAGAGGCTAGGGGAAGAGGAGGATCAGAGAGCAGCCCAGAATAGCCACAGGAGGAGGGGGCCAAGGTAGCCCTGTTATCTTGGGAGAGAGATGACACCCCTCGCAGCCCTAGGGGTGAGGGGAGAGCTTGAGCACAGACCATCTGAAAGGGACCTCTGGCTTCTTTTGGGAGAATTGGGTGACATCTCAGCTCCTGACCTCTGGCTCATCCAGCAGGCACCCAAGATCAGTTGGTTCACAGGCACACCTTTAGCTGCTCCTGCCTTCAGTTCCCATCACCTCCGCCTTCCCAGGGCCCTCTCTTGCTCCTCCATTTGCTGCCCCCAAATGCAGTGCAGTGCAGTGGTAGGTCATCTGCACGCTGCAGCCAGAAGACCCTGGCTCCACTTGGGCTCTGTCACCAACTAGCTCTGGGACATGTAACATACTACACTGTGGCTGGAACCCAGGGCCTTGGCAAATGCTCTACCACTGAACTACCCCTCCTCCAGTGCCCACAGTCTCTCAAGTCTGTTTTCATCTGTAAAATGGAGGTAATAATAACCATAGGGTTTTTGTGAGGATTAAAAGAGATAATCTTTGTAAAGTGCTTAGCAGAGTGTAGCAGATAAGTGCTAGATAAATGGAAGCTATTTTTAAGTCAGGCCAGCATTTCTCCCCTTGAAAGCTGTCAATGGCTCCCTTCTGATGAGATAAAGCACAGATTCAGAGAGGCAGCAGGGGTGCAGGGAGCAGAGTTTTCTAGGGACCTGTGACTTCTGGCTGTACCACTCAGCCACCAGTGGGTTGCTCTGAGCCACAAGTCTGAGACAAGGGCTGCTGGTGCCATGATTGTGTTGGGGATAAGCCGATAAAAATGCAGGAGAGCAGCCAGCCCACAAGTTATGCACTGAAGGTCCCACATGATTTCCAGGCTTAGCCAACCATGGCATAACACGTGTTGTACACTCCAGGCAAATTATCTGGTTTCCCACCACACTCCTACTGTCCTATCTCCAGAAGCCGGCACCCTCTGGGTGATTCTAAATTAAATTATTTCTTACAGCAGTTTTAGGGTCAGAGAAAAGCCGAGTGGAAGTACAACATTCCCACATTCCTCTCCCCTGCCTCTGTATTTTTTCCATGGGGGAAAAAATCCACGATGTAGAAGGATCTGGCTCTTTACTTATTTTATGCCCCTAACTTAGAGGCAGTCAGTAGAATACTGGGAGACTTTATTTCCTTGGGGTGATAGAAGCTGGGTCTCTTTGCAATCTGTTTAGGGTCTGTGGTTTAGGATAAGCTGTAGAGACACTTCAGGGTTAGGAGCCTGTTTATCAGTGGCTGGGATGGCTGAACAGGGCAGTCTGGAGATTGACCTCTGGGTCTGGTTTGGTTGGTCAAAGGCTGGACTAGTCTTTTGCTTGCCTAACCCAGCCAAGGGCCCCTAGGTCCCCAAATCAGGGCACCTCCTTTTCCCACCACACTCTGCTATGTTTTGGTGAGGAAATTGCCCCAGGTTTCAGTCTTTGCTATTGTTACACCAAAAATATAAAGTTTCAAATGCAGATTTCTTGGGCCTGCCCATCTGAAAGTCTTACTGAATAGGTCTGGGGTAGATTCCAGGAATCTGCATTTTTTTTTCATTTTTCTTTTATTATTCGTATGTGCATACAAGGCTTGGTTCATTTCTCCCCACTGCCCCCACCCCCTCCCTTACCACCCACTCCATCCCCCGCCTCGCTCAATACCCAGCAGAAACTATTTTGCCCTTATTTCTAATTTTGTTGTAGAGAGAGTATAAGCAATAATAGGAAGGAACAAGGGTTTTAGGAATCTGCATTTTAAAAAGCAATCTCGGGTCCTGGTGCAGGCAGTCTTAAAACATGTTAGTTTCCTCAAACTAAAACTATACCAGTTAATTGTGTGAGGTAGGAACTCTCCCACGAGAGGCTGTCTTCCAAGAGCAAGGGCTTTGTCATTTCCAGACCAAGACAGAAATATTGGCTCAGAATGGCAGAGTGGGATGGCTAAAGGCTCAAGAGAGGTGGGCAGGAACCTCTCCCACAGGCACACTTGGAAGACAGCAAGCTGCTACTCTTGCTGCTGCTTGGAAGGACGGTAATAAGAGTAGCAAGGGAAACCCAGGAAAGTCAGACAGAAAACTACCAAAGTTAAACTTCTAGTGGTATTGTCACTTGTTAAACAAGCAATTATGAACATAGAGGAAAAGTGTAGCAAGGGAAACAGGTGTGTGGGTGGGTTTGCTAGACTTTTTGAAGGTAAGAACAAGAGAAACGGTCTTACAAATGCCATGGGAGGCAGATCTTGATCAGATTAAGAAAATGAAGGACAAGGAAATTTAGATAATTTATGGAGAAATGACTCACTTTTGGGGAGTCATTTTCCCCATAAATTACCTACTACCTTTCATGCTATAACTGCACAATGCTGGCTTTTTAATTGGCTGCTTCTCTAGTTGCCAGAGTTTGGTTTCTGAAGCTAGAAAACTGGAAAAGCTATCATATTAACAAACTGTAGTTTAGTCATCTTGGTAGGTCAGGTAACAAAGTCCAGTCTGTTTATTTCTAACCCAAATATTGCAAATATACAGAAAATTACCAGTACAAAGTTAAACACATCCAGATTTATTTACACAATGCTAAAGAAATTTGAGTTTTATTTCCATTTTGTGGGATTTCATTATGGGGGGTCTGGCTTTGAACTGATGTGGGTGGTTGAAATTTAATTATCCCACTTCACATGCACTTTTCTGTCCTGAGGGAGCAGAAAGCTTGAGTGTCTAGCACACATGCAGTAGAGTGATCTTAACACTGCTTTACACTCTTGTAGGAACACAGTGTCCCACGGCTTAGGGAGGAACCACATGCTCAGAAAGGGAACCAGGAAAGGTGAGGAACGAACAACAGGCACATGGGGGCCCTGAGCATTTCTGTGCAGGAGGATAAGGAGAGTACACCTAAACCCTCCACCCCGGGGGTTCAAACATGGGAGGTGGGCAGAACCACCAGGGGACAGTAAGTCACCCGACCACAATTGAGTGCATGCGGAGGATGAAAACTGCATTAAAGATTTGGGGCATAGCAATAAATCATTAACGTGTATGCTATACAGTTTATACATGTATATATGTACATACATATATATATAAAGGTACAGATTAGTTTATGTTGTCCCATATAAACAAGGACGCTTAAGAAAAAATGTGAGAAAAAATGCTTTCAGCAAATTGTTGGCAACAATTCCAAACCAATGTTCTAATTCTTGTTAAAATGCAACGTAAGAAGTCAATATGCTACTGCCATTTCCATCACCCTTCATGAGGGCTGATGGTGCCCCAGAGCTGCCTGTGCTAGGCAAATTAGTGGCAGATGGAACACAATGTCTGGCACCCACTGACTCTCGCCCTCCCTGTCACTACATCATATGGCAAATCTTAAACTTTGGTTTGGTTCAAAGGACATTTAAGTCCATGTTAATTTTCCTGCTGGAAGGGAGGTGACAGAAAGCTGCATCCCTTCCTATGTTAGTAGTTCCAAGTACCTGGCTTAAAATGGAAAGGAGAACGGCATGGTGACAATGAGCAGATGCGTTCTTGGCCTCTGTGTACAGGGTTAGGACTCTTCAGACCTCTCCTAAGGGGAGAGAGGCTCTACCTAGATGGTTTGCTTGAAGAGCAATTAAATGACTGAAGCCAGGGCAGCCCTGCCAACTGGGGCTGCTGTGAATGGCTGTGTGTCCCTCTCTGCATCCTGGTATCTTGACAAAGGCTGTGTGTGGAATACCCAGCTATGGTTAGAGGCCCAGTGCAGGAGCTGTAGGCAGCCAGCACATCCTACTCTGCCAGGGAGGAAAGGCCAGTGGGGCACATGAATGCTCAGAGGCAAACCTAAGAGTAAGAGAGATACACATCAGAATGCCCTTCAGAGGCAGATGGCAGTTCCAAGGTTCAGTTATAGGGACCCTGCGGAAGGTGAGCTCACCCCACAGCTGCCGCAACTCTATAGAGGCTTCTACTCTTCTGAGTAGTGTTTCTACTTGATTTGCAGCTGAGGTGCGTCCAGCCCTGTTCTCCAGTCTCAATAAAAACCAAAAGCCCCCAGGTCTTGAGCAGGAAGGACAGCGAGTTCTGGATTTAAGAGCTCGGGCCACTTGAACTGTCTAGTATGTCCATCCTACCTGACAATGTTAAGTTCTGCTTCCCAAGCCTCTGGAAATAACCCCTTCTCCTGCCCTCATCCTGGAGAAGTGTATTTCCATGATGATATGCTAGGTTTACGCTCAAAGATGTTACCTCTAGGCTGCATGGGAAAATCAGAAATATATTTTTTTAAATCTATAATGGATTTAGCTAGCTGAGGGCACACATTAGTAAGTGTGACTGGTACAGAAAGCTAACTTGCAGGCAGTGCCCAAGACAACAGAGCCAGCAAGTCACAGGTGGAAGCAGGAGGATGGATGAAGGGGACCATCCATGGGGACTCACTGTGCTCCTCCCCGGTAACCCTCCACGAGGAGAGGGGCTGCTCCTGAAGATATTCTCAAAACTATTACTTTTGTTGTCAACCATGAAAAGCAGGAGAGAAAAAGTTTCTGTTCTCCAAGAAGAAAACAAAAAGGTGCTAAATGATGCTTGAAAGAAATGCCACTGATCCCTGTCCTAAAGAACAAATCAGTCTAAGAAGCTCTGCTCCAAGTGTTCAGCACTTGCCTGAGTAAGGATTTTACACAGTTCTGAAGACAACCAACCAGCATTGCTGGCAGCACATCAGGACCATGGACAACTGAGCTCCGTCAAAAGGATGGTGGGTTCAGATGACATGGTGCAAGAGGAAGTGCTCTGCAGATGGCCGAGTTACACAGAAATCCCCAATAGTACTGTAATCAAAGAGCCCTAGTCTTAGATAGTTAGAGAAGAATATTAATGTTCCTACATCTTAAAACTAATAAGAGGAGTACTATACATTGGCACATCTATCCACGTCTGTCTCGTTATATGATGAGGGAAAAGGTGTGTGGTGTAAATAGATCTTTTCTGGTCACCAAATTTACTTTGGGCAGGAGGTAAGGGTGGGATAGAGGCTGACACTTTTATCATTTATAAACTGATATATCTTTGCAATTATTTTTAAATTTTAAAACCATGTAAAATAAGAGCTAAAAGACTAGTGTGTTCTAGCTGTAGTGAATATAAATTCTCTTCATAAAACTACCCTAACTTCATTTTCTAACAGACGCTTCCTGACTCAGTTTTACTGGAGTTTCAAAGTCTCTAAGTTTGTCCATCCACTCCCTCCCCCTCTTTCCCTGCTGCTGTTTATTTGCTCTGGGGAAGAGAGAACCTAGCCATCTGCTCACATATTCTGACAAAACTTAATTTGGCACATTTACTTTTTCCTGAATTTCCAGCCACAAAATGAACTAGCAGCAAAATGGCATCTACCAAAGAATGTCCCAATCATAATTACTGGGAGAAATTGAGACCAGCACAGCAGGTATAGTAAGACCAAAGACTGACCATATTACAAGCCTGAATAGCAAATATTCAGTTGTATTAAAACTAATTATTATAACATTCCATTACTATGTGGCCACCCAAAACCCCACCCAACTATATTCTATAATTTATTTCATTTGGAAAAATGTCAAATGGAAAACTTCCTTAAAATTAAAATGTTAACCTAATGTATCACACTAAGCATCACCTCACTGGAAGTGGGTTTTTAATTGGTTCATTGAAACATTTCATGCCCACATGAAATGTGGAAAATGTTCTTTTCCTCTGGGAAAGAGGTAAGAAGGACGGCCCTATAATAAAATTCTGATGTTTAAAAATTAAAGTCTAAATCCCAAAACATCACTAGTCCTGGCTCCATGGATAACAGCAATCTAGGAGGAGCAAATAAGCAGCCATTGTAATGGTTCAACAACCAGCCAACATAGCAGGTGAAAAGGGAACATGGAAGACTGTGGCGGTCAGTCCTTGGGGCTGCACTGTGCATTCGATGGTCAACTCCAGGAAAGAGATGGCTGAGCCTGGGCAGACTTCCAGGCCAGGCCTGCACCCCGTCCTTGAGCAACTCCACTGGCACACAGAAGCACATATTAAAAGATCTCAGAAGCAGCCAGAGTTTCGCCTTTAATAGGTGATAAATCTAGTCAATTCTCTGTTGCTCCCTTCTTTCTGCCCCAAGTTAAAAATATTGCTCTGTAAGTTTTCCTGATTTAGTGTCTTGGAAGCACATGGTTAAGTTAGTTGCCAAAGGGCAATTAACAAGGGTATTGCCTAATTAAATAGGAGAAAAGAAAAATCACTGTGGTTTTATAGTCCCTGGGGGAAGGGGGAGAGAGCAGTGTTGGGATCTGTGAGGAGCTGGTGTGCAGTGTTTTTGGAGCAGGGCTGTCCCCAGATGGAGGAAAGCTGGCTAGGCTGTGCCAGTCACTGCAGCCTCTGTTCTCCCTGTGGCTATTTCACAATGGCTGGCAGAGCCCAGGGACAGCACCAGGTACGATATGAGAGTTGATGCTGGAGTCACAGATGCCCTGGAGTGGGCACCATGCAAAACGCAGAACACACAAGGGTGGGGCTAGTGAATAATCCCTTCCATTTCATTTCTCTTAGAGAGAGAGAGAGAGAGACAGAGAGGGAGAGAGAGAAAGCCCAACAAAATCCTAAAACCCATTCTTTAACAAAAGACAGAACTTGAAACAAAAAGTTAAAGAATTTAAATTTCCCCCCTCTTCTCAGAGCCAATTGTTAAAAATGTTCAGGGTTCCCCACCCCCACCCTGCATTTCTTTAGTGTAGGTCCTTTTGGCTTTGATGGAAGCAGCAGAAACACAGCTGGGTCCCTCGCAATGGGAAATTTATTTCCCCAAGTTGGAGCCACAGGGGTATAAGAGGTACTGCATTTCCACCATCCATGCTGGGTCCCAGCTCCTTTACAGAGCTATTCCAGGAGGTCCTGAAAAGAGAGACAGGTGGCGTATTATTGATTGATCTCAAACTTCTTATTTTGAGGCGGCTAGAGGGAGGAAGCAGAAAGCGTGCCTCCTAAAGTAAAATCTTGGAGAGACACTGGAGATACACCTTACAGGAAAAACCACCAAGAAGAGGCAAAACTTTAACTCCTCCACACCCCCAGCCTGTGTGTAACATTCCCACTCCACATTAAACGTAGAAACCAGGAGGGATCCCACGCCACAGCCAGACGCCAGCGCCCAGACCGCTTGGGAAGAAGCAGACCCCAAGGTGAAGCTAAGCGGCATGCTGTACTTCCACAGACAACCCTGGACCAGATCAGCATATCCCTCTAGACAGACTGACCCCCACCCAGGGAAAAAAGAAAAAAAAAAACTTGAGTAATAAGCAATAACAACAAAAAAAGACACGTAGCAAAGAGGACAGGGTGCCCTGAACGTGGAAGGGGGTGGAGGGGAAATCCCTCACAACAAGTCGGCTGGAGAAGGCAGGAGCGGTGGCATCCACCTAGCAACCAGAAGTGGGAAAGCTTGTAAAGTGGCGGAGGGAGGAAAACTCCACAGGAGAGGGGGGAAGACCCACTTCCCACATGAACTGTAAATAAACACGCTGGCCTGAGAAAGCAGGTGCAGTGTCACCTCCCCTAGTGTGCTTGTAGCAGTGGGCATCGTGCCCAGGAGAACTCTAAATAATCAAAGCCTGAGGGTCCAGGTGAGTGTTATGCCTACTCCTGAGATCTGCATAAATAAAGCCTCCAGCAACAGCAAGCTGACAGCAGCGGCAGTGAGCCATAGCCTCAGATAGACATTCACAAAGCTGTCTCCAGACTCTTTTTTTCTTCTTCTTTTCATTCTCCCTTCCTTTGATGAGACAACAACCGAACTACACCTGCATGCTGAAAAACTTACTGAAACTGTATTGCATTTGAACTTGGGACACTTTGTGGTGTTTTTTTTTTTTTTGTTTGGTTTGGTTTGGTTTTTTTCCCCTTTGATGAGATAATGACAGAACTACTTCAGAGACACCATCTTCAGGATTGAAGGCTGAGGGACTAACACTAAAATTATTAATACTGAAATTTTATTGCATTTGAACTTGGAGATTTCTTTATTTTTAATTTTATTTATTTATTAATTTTTTTTTTCTCAATCTTCTCTGTCTCTCAAATGCCTGTTTAGCTTACTGCTGATTAGTACACTATCTCTCCCTGTTTATATCTTTGAACCTTTTTTGTTTGTTTGTTTTGGGTTTTTTGTTTACTTGTTTTCCCTCTTTCTTTAACGGGGTACTTTGCTTTAACCTTTTTCTTTGCTTTTGGCTTGGTTGAACTAATAAGAGTTTTCCACCATCTGTTACTCTAGTTCATCTATGCCTTGAAAATTATTTGTCTATTGCGATATACATACAAGGGTCATACCAACACCCAAGCTCATGTGATGGATAGTACAGGGAATATAGGTTACAGGGAATTCCTTATGTTTTCGACACTTCGGCAACTTAAATATGAGTACTCAGAGATTACCGAGAGGAAATATGTTTTAGAATACATACAGATAGCTCTCAGATCGACTCCAACAATAATGAAATAATAAACTATGGCAAAGAATCCTCAGAGAATGCCAATAGAAACATCTAAAAGAAATGGACATCGGATACTAGCTAATAGGAGAAATTTTGAGATGATAGGATAGGGAGAATGGATCACTGGATAAGGTACAGCCAATGTACAAGATGACACTTCTAGAATTCCAAAGAGCACAAAATTAGAAAGGGAATATATGAAAAACCAAGAAAGAAATAAAAGAGAACCATGAGAAAGACAATCGCTAAAGAATAAACACCAAACCTATAAGTGAACAAAAAGAACAAGATTAATAAAAAAGCGTAAGATGACCACAGGACTATTCAATGATAGCATTCAATTATAAGAGGAACAGTCCTGGATAGGAAATGGAAATCTAACTCTCAGACAGAATAGAATGAAACAGAATTCTTGGACAAATCACAAATGCGGTAAAGGCAGATCCATGAAAGGATAATGAAACAATATTAGGCAAAGCATCTCAGAGTCGACAGATAGAATATTGTTGGAAATGAATAAGAGCAGAGAAGACGGAAACATGAATATAACACTCATAGCTCCTTGGATAAAGATAATTAGCCTATAGAAATGATCCATCAAAGAGAACTCAAACTTGAGCAGTAGTGTGCAATGAAGACGTGAGAGAAAGTGATGACTAAGTATATCGAAGTGTCGATATATAATTATTCTTACCGAATGAATAGAATTTTTTCAATCTGGAGAAATCCTATTTCCATGCAGATGCACAGAGGCCCTTCCAATACACCAAACAGACAGAAACAAAATATTCCTCCATTTCACTTGAAGATGGATGTCATACAGAAGTAGTTGCAGAAGTACTGATAGAAGAATATTGAGGTGTCAGTCAGAGCGGCAAACCAGAATACATACCTGATACCTAACACACAAATCAAAAGCAAAGCTATGCTACAACCAGAACAGTTACAGCAAGAGAGCTATGGGTGTGACGATTTCACGTGACTTGAATGAAATATAACATATACAACGTTTTTAGGTTAGTCTACCTCTCTAACAGACTAATAATATGCTAAGAGTGTAGAGTGTGCGGCTTAGTAAATGTCTCTTACACTATAAGGAGGTGGATTGAAAGAAGATCATAGGTTGAGGGAATAGCCCCACACTATCATACAGAGAAACTAAAACAGTATGTGACCAAAGCCACCACTACAAGATCTTCAAGGGATTCTGCACACAGAAAGTGAAACCCAACTAACCATGACAGGGCAGCAGCACCAAATACAGGAAAAGAAAAAGCAAGAAGTAGGAGTAACTCAACTTAGGTACACACAATCAAACCTTAAACAACTAAGACAACTAAATGACAGGAATCACGACATACCTATCAGTACTAACACTTAATGTTAATGGACTTAATTCCCCTCAAAAAGGCATCATTTGAAACGGAAATGGATTAAAAAGGAGATCCAACAATTTGTTGGCTTACGAACACGCAATAATAGCAAAGATATGGATAGAAGAAGATTATAACCAAGCCATAGAGAGAGACAGGAAATAAGATATATATAAAGTAGACTATATATAATAGACAAACCGAAGGACATTCCATACTAATAAAGGGAAATAGAATAATATATCAAAATAATGCAAATGTCAAGCACACCCAATTCATCTCAAACATACCCTGAAGACCTAAGCATATATTAACTCCAACACAGTGGTCGTGGAGACTTTAACACCCCATTATCATCAATAGATAGTCATCCAAACAAAAAATCTCAAAAGAAATTCAAGATCTAAAATATACATAGATCAAATGGACCTACTTGATGTCTACAGAACATTTCATCCAACTCTATACACATATATATTCTCTCAGCAGCCCATGGACCTTCTCGAAAATAGATCAATATCTAGGCACAAAGCAAGCCTCAGCAAATATAAGAAAACAGAAAATTATACCGTGCATTCTATCTGATCACAATGCATAAAACTAGAACGCAACAACAAAAGTAAAGACAAAAAACATGCAAACAGCTGGAACTGAATAACTCACTGCTTAATGAACAAGGTCATTGATGAAATAAAAGAGGAAATTAAAAAGTTCTGGAAGTCAATGAAAATGAAAACACACACCTACCGGAACCTATGGGACACAGCTAAAGCAGTCTGAGAGGAAAGTTTTATAGCCATGAGTGCATATATTAAAAAGACTGAAAGATCCCAAATCAATGACCTGATACATACTCCTAGAAAACAAGAACAAGCAAATCCAAAAAATAGAAGAGAAATAATAAAAATAAGAGCTGAAATCAATGAAATAGAAACCAAAAAAACCATACAAAGAATTAATGAAACAAAAAGTTGGTTCTTTGGAAAAATAGACAAAATCGATAGACCCCTGGCAAACCTGACTAAAATGAGGAGAGAAAAAACCCAAATTAGTAGAATCAGGAATGCAAAAGGGGAGATAACAACAAACACATGGAAGTCCAGGAAATCAACAGAGACTACTTCGAGAACCTATATTCAAATAAATTTGAAAATCTTAAAGAAATGGACAGATTTCTAGATACATATGATCATCCAAAACTGAACCAAGAGGAAATTAATCACCTGAATAGATCTATAACACAAAATGAAAATTGAAGCAGCAATCAAGAGTCTCCCCAAAAAGAAAAGTCCAGGACCTGATGGATTCTCTGCTGAATTCTATCAGACCTTTAAAGAAAACTGATACCAACCCTCCTTAAACTGTTCCATGAAATAGAAAGGGAAGGAAAAACTGCCTAAACATTTTATGAAGCCAGTATTACACTTATCCCAAAACCAGGCAAAGACACCTCCAAAAAGGAGAACTATAGGCCAATCTCCTTAATGAACATTGATGCAAAAATCCTCAACAAAATAATGGCAAACCGAATTCAGCAACACATCAAAAAGATTATTCACCACGACCAAGTAGGCTTCATCCCAGGGATGCAGGGGTGGTTCAACATATGAAAATCAATAAACGTAATAAACCACATTAACAGAAGCAAAGACAAAAACCACTTGATCATCTCAATAGATGCAGAAAAACCTTTGATAAGATCCAACACCATTTCATGATAAAAGCTCTAAGAAAACTAGGAATAGAAGGAAAGTTCAACATTATAAAAGCTATATATGACAAACCTACAGCCAGCATTATACTTAACGGAGAAAAACTGAAACCATTCCCTCTAAAATCAGGAACCAGACAAGGATGCCCACTATCTCCACTCCTATTCAACATAGTACTGGAATTCCTAGCCAGAGCAATTAGGCAAGAAGAAGGAATAAAAGGAATACAAATAGGTAAAGAAACTGTCAAAATATCCCTATTTGCAGACGACATGATCCTATACCTTAAAGACCCAAAAATCTACTCAGAAGCTTCCTAGACATCATCAATAGCTACAGCAAGGTAGCAGGATATAAAATCAACATAGAAAAATCATTAGCATTTTATACACTAATAATGAGCAAACTGAGAAAAGAATATGAAAAAATTCCATTTACAATAGCCTCAAAAAAAAAAATACCTAGGTGTAAACCTAACAAAGATGTGAAGACCTCTACAAGGAAAACTATACACTTCTGAAGAAAGAGATTGAGGAAGACTATAGAAAGTGGAGAGATCTCCCATGCTCATGGATTGGTAGAATCAACATAGTAAAAATGTCGATACTCCCAAAGTAATCTACATGTTTAATGCAATTCCCATCAAAATTCCAATGACATTCATTAAAGAGATTGAAAAATCTACTGTTATATGGAAACACAGAGGCCACGAATAGCCAAGGCAATACTCAGTCAAAAGAACAATGCTGGAGGTATCACAATACCTGACTTCAAACTATATTACAAAGCAATAACAATAAAACAGCATGGTACTGGCACAAAAACAGACATGAAGACCAGTGGAACAGAATAGAGGACCCAGATATGAAGCCACAAAACTATAACCAACTTGTCTTTGACAAAGGAGCTAAAATATACGATGGAGAAATAGCAGCCTCTTCAACAAAAACTGCTGGGAAAACTGGTTAGCAGTCTGCAAAAAACTGAAACTAGATCCATGTATAGCACCCTATACCAAGATTAACTCAAAATGGATCAAGGATCTTAATATCAGACCCCAAACTCTAAAGTTGATACAGGAAAGAGTAGGAAATACTCTGGAGTTAGTAGGTATAGGTAAGAACTTTCTCAATGAAACCCAGCAGCACAGCAACTAAGAGATAGCATAGATAAATGGGACTCATAAAACTAAAAACTTCTGTCATCAAAAGAAATGGTCTCTAAACTGAAGAGCACCCACAGAGTGGGAGAAATATTTGCCAGCTACACATCAGACAAAGGACTGATAACCAGAATATAGGGAACTTAAAAAACTAAATTCTCCCAAAACTAATGAACCAATAAAGAAATGGGCAAGTGAACTAAACAGAACTTTCTCAAAAGAAGAAATTCAAATGGCCAAAAAACATGAAAAATGCTCACCATCTCTAGCAATAAAGGAAATGCAAATTAAAACCACGCTAAGATTCCAACCCCTGTTAGAATAGCCATCATTAGCAACACCACCAACAACAGGTGTTGGCGAGGATGCGGGGAAAAAGGAACCCTCTTACACTGTTGGTGGGAATGTAACTAGTACAACCACTCTGGAAAAAAATTTGGAGGCTACTTAAAAAGCTAACATTGATCTACCATTTGATCCAGCAATACCACTCTTGGGGATATACCCAAAAGACTGTGACACAGGTTACTCCAGAGGCACCTGCACACCATGTTTATTGCGGCACTATTCACAATAGCCAAGTTATGGAAACAGCCAAGATGCCCCACACTGACGAATGGATTAAGAAAATGTGGTATCTATACACAATGGAATTTTATGCAGCCATGAAGAAGAACGAAATGTTATCATTCGCTGGTAAATGGATGGAATTGGAGAACATCATTCTGAGTGAGGTTAGCCTGGCCAAAAGACCAAAAATCGTATGTTTCCTCATATGTGGACATTAGATCAAGGGCAAACACAAAGGGATTGGACTTGAGCACATGATAAAGCGAGAGCACACAAGGGAGGGTGAGGATAGGTAAGACACCTAAAAAACTAGCTAGCATTTGTTGCCTCAATGCAGAGAAACTAAAGCAGATACTTAAAGCAACTGAGGCCAATAGGAGAAGGGGACCAGGAACTAGAGAAAAGGTTAGTCAAAAGAATTAACTAGAAGGTAAACACGCACAGGAAATCATGCGAGTCACTCCTGTATAGCTATCCTTATCTCAACTAGCAAAACGCTTTGGTCCCTCCTATTATTGCTTATACTCTCTCTACAACAAAATTAGAGATAAGGGCAAAAGAGTTTCTGCCTGGTAGTGAGGGGATGAGAGGAAGAGGGAGGGGGTGGGGGGATGGGAGAGAAATGACCTAAACATTGTATGCACATATAAATAAAATAAAAATTAAAAAGAAAAAAGATAAAAAAAAAAAACCTTCCTATTTTGAAAGCAATCACCTAGTTTCTGGGCTTGACAAATCCTGCTGTCATTAAACTGCTGCTTTTCTAACTGGTCTTAAATCATATCTTCATCACGAGTAATTTTAGGACTACTTAAGAAGAAAGTCTCACCTCATCTGAGTCATCATGATAACCACTTTTATTAGCATGGGAGGCTGTGTCCAAAGCATCCACCCCATCGGCTTCTGCATGCTGTTGTAGCACAGAGTATCGGTGCACCAGGAACCTGTAGGGGAAACCTCTGTTAACTCTCATGTGATGAGAAAAAAAAAGCACATGTCTTTTAGCACTTGATGTCTCCAGTTTTATACACATGGAGGAAGTCACACACACAGGCAATACGGCTGATATACCAAAATTATTAGATACAAGAAGATTTGGGTCTGAGTTTTCCAGGACATCACTTCAACTGCCTTGTTGTTGCCAAGGGCAGATTCAATCACTCTGGTTTGAATTCGGTATCTCTGGCCCACTTCCATATCCCTTACCTTCCGCCACAGACATATTTCTTCACAATGAGCACTCCTGCTATGACTGTGACCAGCATCAATCCCACGATGGCCAGGATGATGGGAACAGAATTTGACTTGGAATTCTTGATAAATTAAAACACAAACACAAAAGCTTTTAGGCATACCTTTTCTAGGAATGCATTCTCCTCATTTCTCTGTGAGTGATCTACAGTCTGAGTTACTTGCTGCCTCTACTTTTCCAACCCCCCCAAGACAAACCATCTCTGTTACCAGGAGACTTCACAGCTGGTGGAGGGGAATCCGAACTCCAGCTGCCTGAAAACTGCAAGTGCAGGGGATTCAATTCCAAAATTATGGTGGAAGCCTTGGCAACTGCCTATGTCAACTATGGTAATACTGACTGTTCCACATCCCCTGTTTACAAGTCTTAGAGCTTAAGGGTGGAGTATAAAGGGACACTACGATAACAGTAGGCTGAATGAATTTAGAATAGGGCCATCATGTGGGAAGACATGTGTCAATGCTATACCAGGCAGGCCATTACATGACACAAAGCAAGATTAATGTTTTTACTTAATTTTTGGTATGTTTTTGCAAATAAACCTTATCACATCATTGTTTGCGTGTAACCTACCTGCTTCTGGGTGGGAGATAGGAAGTGTGTGTTTTCAGTGTATCCAAGAGGAGGCGGAGCTGGATTCTGGGACAAGCTGTGTCCCTGTGGGCGGGAGTCCTGTGCAATCACACACACAAACACTCTGAGGACAGCCACTAGCAGTCCAGGGCAGGGGTGCAGAGAAGGAGGAACTTGCCCCCTTACAAATACACACACCCACACACTCTTCTCCGTTCCTTCTTAGTCCCACCCTTTGTTGGCCAGTCATCCCTAGAACGGCAGAGAGGCAGCCACTGCACACTTTTGGGGCATCTCACATTACAGACTAGAAGCAGGGACCCACAGTTTATCTCCCCAAGTCATACTGCTGTTCCAGTGTTTCGTTTTCTTTTCTTTTTTTTTTTCTTCTAGTGCTTCTTTATCAAGAGGCTTCCTCTTCACCTTATCTCCAAATCCCAACCACTTAGTTCAACATCACAATTTGTAATTGTCTTGTAACTTGCCTCTAAATCAAAAGCAACCCATTATCACCACAGCTCAGCTTTTCATTCTGAACACACTTGTCATGACTTAGCACAAAGATCCGTCCTACTTACTGAACAACACTCTTCTCGGCCCGTGCAAAATTCCAGGTCATGGCCCTTTATAACCTTCCTTTTTATATTTAAAATATTATTAACATGTCATATTGTACATATTAATGTGCATCTTGTGGTGTTTCAACACATGCATGCATCATGTACTGACAGCTGCTTTCTTGAGTGTTTTTCCTAAATGACTCTGAACTTCAGAAATTCTACAACTATATGCTTCTAAGACAACTTTATAGAGTAACATTTTTCTCCCAAGAAAAAAGGAACTGTTTGCTGGATGAGGTTATTGGGCTATGGGATGTGTCTTTTATCCAATGTTTTCTGTCCAAAGGGAAGCCCAACAGAAGTAGTATCAGTAACCAATTCTTGATGCTATAACTTTGATTCTTCCTGACAGAATGTGAAATCCCACTTGCACCTAAAAACTAGATCTATTTTAACATACCTGCTTTTGGGGATTCAAAAAGTTGCTTGTGCATTTCTTTTTCAAGTCCTTTACTTCTCGAGCTGGATTCATCCCACCTTGGCATCTATCACCTGGAATTTTCCGATACCTGAAAGGCAGAGGAAGTTTGTTCACAGGGATTTGTACTTTCTGGATGTGGCTGTGTTGCTTTCTGGATGAGGTGTGCATTTGGTGCCATGGCCCCTGTGCTGGGGTGCACCTGGCCAGAATGGTGGTAGCAATGGAGTGACTACTGCTGCTGCAGGAATTACAGGCCAGTATGTCTGGCAAGTCATGAAGCATATGGAACCTCAAGTAAAATAAGCTCCTCAAAGTCTACCAAAATCCACATTCAGTGGTGACTATTACAGAGGTGAGTTTGAACGCTAAATGACAAATGGGATGTAATGTTAATACTACGTAAAAGCCAATCAAGAAGAATAAGAGATGCTCATCAATAAACTGGGTTCTTAGCTATCTAGACCAAAGAGGATCTTCTTATACAGCAACCAAAATCAATGAAGCTGAAGATCTATTTAAAGGTCAAGCTAAAATCATTTTTTTAGGCTTCATTAGTAGGTGTATGATGAATTTTCAGTTTGTATTAGTTTATGTATTTGAGGGCAAACTTTTGATAATAAAATGCCTCAGGGAAGGAAGGAAGGAAGGAAAAAGGAAAGGAAGGAGGGAGAGAGGGAAGGAAGGAAGGAAAGGAATGAGGGAAGGAAGGAAGAAAAGGAGGGAAGGGAGGAAGGAAGGAAAGAGGAAAGGAGGGAGGGAGAGAGGAAAGGAAGAAAGGAAAGGAATGAAGGAAGGAGGGAAGAAAGGGAGGGGAGGGTGGAAGAGGAGGGAAGGAAGGAGTAAAGGAGGGAAGGAAGGGACTTGTTAACAGAATACAAGTATATATTCCTTGACTCTTGGCTATTTCCTGAAAATAAGATTTGAAAACTGCCTAAATTTCTTGTCCTTATGAAACTGAGGGAAAACCTGAATAAAACCTCTAGCTTCACTTGCTTTTAGTTCACTTTAAAAACCACTAATTTTGAAGGTCACAGAACTGACTAGTGTATTACGAGTTTCCCATCAGCTTTGTTGTAGGTAACACTTCTGATGTGTGGGTTATGATGATAAAGGTTGCCTAGGTTGCTTTTATTGAAATCATTTCTCTTCAACTGAGTCTGTGCAGTTGTCTGATGGATAATCTTTCATGTGATTTTTTTTTAACGGATGACCTTTTGGCATCAGAAGTCCAAATCTCTAACCTCAGGTCATGCTAACACTTCCATTTTCTGAACATGTATTCTATGAAAAGCTACAAGCTTGATTATACATGCACAAACCACTGATTAGCTCACCTCCCGTCACCTTTCCCCATACTTTAAATCACTTTTCTTTTTCCTTCTTTTTTTTTGGCAGTACTGGGGGTTTGAACTCAGGGTCTTGAACTTGGTAGGCAGGTGCTCTGCCACTTAAGCCACACCCCCAGCCCCCACCTACTTCATTATCCCGATAAATATTCCTAAATTTTACCTTCAGGAAGGCAGATTCGAGTCTTGGTCTCCCATCTCTACATGCTTGGCCACCTCATAATAAATTCTTTCTGCTTTGTTAAATTCATTGTTTCATACTAGGTGGTGGGCAAAATGTGTCTGGTTCACATCATCTTTCAGGCCTGGTTCACAGGTATTCTGTGTGATTTCAGGGCCTGAGCAGACTAAGCATCTCTGTTTCTTGCTGTCAGAGACAGTACCAGAGAACTATGACACAGGAAAGCTAATTAACAAGTGGTAAGAAAATGGGAGAGGTGGCAAATTTATCAGAGGAAAGAGATATTGAGACTCCTCTACAGCTGCTCTGTCCTACGTAGAACTTGTTTAAATGAGAATTAATTAAAATGGAAAAAACCCTCAGTTCCTCAGTTGCACTAGTGTGACTAGCTTCATGTGACTAGCAGCTGCCATTTGGATACAACAGATTTCAGAATGTTTCTGTCACCACAGAAAGTTCTTCTAGACAGTATTTTCATGAGTATTCTGATATAGTGCTTGGATTTCTGTGTGAAGAGACGTAGTTTCACTCTGAATAAAGAGGATTCATTTGCCATGATGAGGGAGAAAGACTGTCTCACCCATTTGTTGTCAGGTGTTCTTCTCTTCCATACAGACAAAACTCTAGGTCGTGCCCCTTCAGCTCTGGCTGTTCCACACACTCTGTGTCATTTTCTGGACGGAAGTAGCCAAAATCACTGCAAGAGTCAATAATAAGGTAACTTTCAAAGTTGCTGAAAGACAGTAAATCACTAGCAACGAAGGTTTTATGTGGATGGTTAATAATTCAGTTAGAATATTCCAGTTCAGACCAGAATAGTCAGGGCCTTGAGTTTACTGGGCAGGTGCTCTACCACTATCGCAGCCCAGACCTTGGGTATTTGTTATACTGATGGAAAGCTGGCTAATTCAGTCCACTTAGGAAAACAGACATGGAGAGAGTTTTATGGAGGAGCAAAAACCAAAAACTTATAGATCAGGCCTGGTAGGCTGAGGAATACTTAGAGCTCAAAGGGTGGGAGTCCTGCAGTCAGCTAGGGCTCAGAGAAGGAACTGGCTGCAGCTAAAATGGGGTAGGAACACTCACAACTAAGACAAAGAGGAGGCCACAGAAACAGTGGCATCAGCAACAGATCTAAATTCAGAAAATTTAGCAATTTTTTAATATACAAATATGTTGGTCTTGGGGATATATGTGAACCTTTTTCTGTCTTCCCCGCTTCTATTCCTCTCACTTCTTAGACAGTACTTGCCTCCAGTGTGAATACCCTTTCTTGCCTTCCATTCCATTCCATCTCTTTGTAGCACCTTTTGTCTATTCTTCTCTTTCTAAAGAAATAATGCCCTGACTCTTCTTCAAGGCTGACCTCTGCATGAGCATCCTTTGGCTTGTTCTTGGTCCCACTTTTCTTACCCACCCTGGGCCCTTGCTTTATAGATAGTATATGAAGGGACTATTAATCTTGCCTACTCAATTGGTGGCTCCTCCTTAGCCTACATATGACTCTATTCTCAAAATTATGTCCTTTATCTTTCTCTCCCTTACCAGCCAAATTTTCTTCCTTCCTTCCTTTCTTTCCTTCCTCCCTCCCACCCTCCTTCCTTCCTTCCTTATATCCCTCCTTCCTTCCTCCCTCCCTCCCTTCTTCCTTTCTTTCCTTCCTCCTTCCTTCCTTTCCTTCATTTTTTTGAGGCAAGATCTTGCTGTATAGCCCAGGCTGGCCTCAAAATCTTTCTGTAGCCCCAGCTGGCCTTGAATTCATGATCCTATGGCTTCAGCCTCCTGAGTCCTGAGATTACAGGCATGCACCACCATTCTTAATATTTTTAGTTGCCTATTTCACTCATTTACTTTTTCCCCTCAGTGCTAGAGATTAAACCCAGGGCCTCCTGGCTGCTAGGCAAGCTCTCTATCACTGAGCCACACCTCCAGCCCCTTAGTTTTTTTCCATGCATTTTGGCATCAACATTCTCTACAACCTTGAAAAGAACGTCTGAGATCCCCCACCTCACACACACACACATACATACACATACTGGCACCAAGACTCACAAATCATCAAATCCAGCAAAGCCCTTTCTGGTCTCATTCACTTTGATCACCTACAGCATCAAATATCAGTACTGTTGCAATATGAAGCACTGGGGTTTGAACTCAGGCCCTCACACTTGCTAGGCAGGCACTCTACCTCTTGAGTCACTCCACCAACCCCTTTTTGTGTTGGATATTTTTGAGATAGGGTCTTGCGAACTATTTGTCTGGGCTGGCTTCGAACCACAATCCTCCTGATTTCTGCTTCCTGAGTAGCTAGGATTACAGGTATGAGCCACTGGCACCTGGCGTTGGGCTCTAACCTTATATTTCCAAATGCCTGGTAGATATCACCTAAATATGTTAATAGACCCTTAAAAGAATAAAATGGTCAAAACACAGCATACTTTCTTCTCTGCCAGCTCTCCTTATTCTATATGTCTATCCATGACACTACTTTCCTTCTCATCATCTAAGTGGAAAATTTTGCCTCAGCATCCTCCGTCTGGATCCTACTCACTTCTTTGTCATGACTTCTCTGACCTCCCTCATAGCCTATCTTCCAGCACCCCTTTCCTTGGCTGCACTGTTGGGTGTCTGGCTCACAGCAGTCTACTCGCTTTAATGACCTGCTTTCTTCCCAGATGCACATGGTCAAATCCTACCACTTATCAGTGCTCAGCTTACCTCCTCAACAAAGCGTTTTGTGACCCACATCTTTCAGCTCTGGAGGAAATCTTCTCTTCCTTCTCTAAATCCCCATGGCACCTACTGTGTTGCACAATAATTATGTGCATCTTATTGGGAGGGTCTAGAACAAACCTCCCACACTTACTCCAGTGCCCCATGCACAGCAAGAATCAGTGAATATTTGGAGACTACTTAGATGCTGCTTGTATTTCTGTTTTTCTGGTGAATATTTAGGAGAAAGGGCAGGGGGAACAAAAGAAGCAGAAGACACCACCCCTCCAGTAGCAGCGGAAATTTCAAGAAGTGCTCTTCTCACTTATAAAGGACCCCCTTGTGAAGTACATATTGCACAATGCTGGAGTTGAAATGCCAGCTTCACATTCAGCTCTGTTGCTTCCCATGGCCAGTCAGTTACAACCTTTCCATTGAGGTTAAACATAAATTGCATAGGATAGTGTCTAACACACTATCACGGAGTGTGGGTGGACCCAAGCTTGATAGAATCAAATTTATAAACAATCATTAAAACATAGTAAGTGCTGGAATAGGTGCTGGGGGAGTCTAGTGAGGGAGATTGGGGAGAGGCTTTCAAGTGGTGTTATCTGAGCTAAGTATTAAAAGCCAAGGAGGACTTTCCCAGTGGTGGGGGTGCAGTGGGGAACATGGACAGATTTTCCAGGCAGAGGACGAATCCTCACAATGGCCTGGGGCTCTGCAGAATCATGATGTATTTAGAAAACAGCCAAAGCTCTGGTAAAGAGCCTGGCAAATGTGGTTCAAGAATAAGGCAGAGCCCTTCAGAACAACCTCTAGCCCAGCTGCAGCCCAAAGCTGTGAGTGATGTTTTTCCTGCGGAAATGGAGAAGGGAGGACACTTGGCCATCCCACATACGGTTGTAAGCCACACAGGAGGAGCCACACTGGGTCAATCCTGTGTTTCCCTAAGACCGCATTCTTCTGTCACTTACAGTTCAAGAGAAGATGTCAGGGGAGGATAAGATTGCCATCTGACTGCCTGCTTTGTCCAAATCCTTCAGGATCTGGTTTTACCTTCTGTCAATATTTAGTGCGGGGACAGCATTCCCAAGATTATTACCTTGATGTGAAGCAGCTCCTCTTATTTGCCCTAAAATTACCTCCTTTAAGCTACACAGGGATGCCCTGGCCTTTTAATATAATCAACTCACTACGCCAGCCAAGTACTAATCCTTAAGCCTAGATGGTCCTGAACTCCAGGGAGTCCATCTCCCTGGAGATGGCCTCTAAACCTCAGAGGGCCTCAGAGGTTTAGAGTGGCCTCTAAACCTCAGAGGGACATAGGACTGGAAACATACAGTCCTCGAGTCTCAGGACCAAACCACCACCTCCTTGCCTTCACTCTACAGAGGATTCAAAACCTACTGCCCTTCCTGCTGCACTCAAGTTGTAGGGCTCATTCTAAAGTCCAATTTCCTCTTTGCTCCTGAACACCCTTCCTGGTGCTTTTGTCTTGTTGTTTTCTATAGTTTTTTTTGTTTTATTCTCTTCCTGTTACATAACCTCTCTCTTTCCCACCATTGCCATGTCAGGATTTCTGGGATTGCTTGCTGGTTCTGCCCAATAATTAACTGTCCAGTTATTAACAACTTTGGTTCCCTCTGTGCCTCAATTTCCTTGGTAAGAAGCAGCAGTTCTCCACTCTTGAGGAAAAAGATTTCAGTATTTTTAGTCCTACAAATGGTACAGGGCTGTCCTTTGCCTCCTCCCACAAATGGTACAGTGCTGATAGAGGGATCTGAGGAGAGCTGATACCAGAGGAAGTCCTCCAGAGAACACGGACAGATGGACGGCTGCTTGGTCACAACATAGTCTCGACCATTCTGACAGACAGATGACTTGCGTAGCCGTAGGTACTGTTCTTTATAGCCCAATATGCAGCCATCTTCATAATCCCCAGGGTCTGTGGAGTGTGCCAGCCATATGGAATAGTCCTTCTCTTCACCTAAAGGATAGACAGACTGTTCAGGAAGCTGCACAGCACACATCCCACCCACGGGAAGCAGCTGTCAGGCTATGGGAAGAATAAGGAAAGGGAAAGCAAGAACATCTGACTCAATCTATTGCTTCAATTTGGAATTGCAAACAAAAAGCTACATTAGTTTAGAACCTACTAACAATTGCATTTCCTCATCCTATAAGAGGATTCTTTCCATCTCACCATTGAAGATTAGGAAGAGCCTCATTTGTTTTGAAGTAGGAAGCTGTTTAGGGGAACTCAAGAGTTCTTTCCAAACTGAGAGGCTGCTGTCTTGCTCACATATGCCCTCAGTCCACAGCAGGTGTCAGAGAGGAGTGACCAGCTATTTCCCACTCCAGGGCTCTTTGCTTAGGATAAGATATGAATTACTCAAAGAGCTCAGGTTCAATTTCTTGATGTGTAAGTTTGCTTCAAACAGAAGGGAACACAGCCTCTTTCTAGGCCTCTCTCTCTAGTCCAATGGTTCTCAAATGTGGACTGTTGATGATAACAGTCTTTTGCTCAGTATATCATGTCATCCCCTCCTGGAAAAACTATTCAAAGGCTGTAACTGTGGATTAGGTTTTTATCCTTCAGGATATGAAGACCAGCACAGAGCCAGTTAGAGAGCAGGTGCTTAACAAATCTGTTAATGACCTTAAATTTTAGAGATAACTGTAGAACTGCCTGTTTAGGAGAAAACTCATAAGCCAGCTCCTTTACAGCCTCTTTAGTTAACGGAGATGCCCACAGCCCTCAGACTTTAAATCATATTTCAATGTCTTGTAGAAAAGTGAGGCCTAAGCCAAGAGCTGTGCTTCCTCAGGAGTCACTGAATTAACACTGTGGAAAGGGACCCATAACACAGTCTAACAGACCAACATCCAACTAAAATGTCTTGAAACTGTAAGTCTCTGATTGTATCATTATACCAACATGTGAGTTCAGTCACCTTTTCTCCAGTGTTTTCTTTTATACTTCATATTTCTCAGTATAACACCAGCGTCTTTGGCACTGCATCTGGGTCTGCTTTCAATACTTTGGGAGCACCTGGCACTGTACATTGACACTCTCTTTCTGAAGCTATTTT